TTTCTTTTGTGTGCTAACGGTTATTCTTTTTTTTTTTTTTTTTTTTTTTAATTTCGTAAGTGCGCTTGACGCTCTAGATTTCCTTTTGTTTTTCTGGAATATTTGTTTTGAAATTTATCTTTGGTGTAAAAGCTGGTGGGTCATTAGAATATAATAATTAGTTCAGGGGCGTGAAAAAATGCGTGGTTGTGAGCCTGGGGAGGGGGCACTAATTGACATTCTTATGAAGTGCCTTACGTGTGTGCATCGTTTGTCAAATTTGAGTCCTGCCTGACCAAATTGCTTGATTGTAGGATTTATAAAGGATTTATACGAAACACTTTGTTTTTTATGTTGTTGTTTTTTTAAAACTGAAGTAATAAATGGTTATCTCAATTCCTAAATTAAATGCTCTGATAAATAGTAATAGGGATGAGAAATGGTGTATTAAGACTTTTTAGATATGACGACTGATGCCTTCACTGCTTGCATGTTATAAAGTTTATAATAAGTTCAGAATATAAGTATAATAATTTCAAAATAAATGTGTAATGCATTCATGATATGTGTATACTAAGTTCAGTATATACGTATAATACGCTCAGAATAGATGTATAATAAGTTCAGGATATATTTATAATAATTTCAGTATATATGTATAACACGCTCAGGATATATTTATAATAAGTTCAGGATACATGTATAATCATTTCAGTATATATGTAAAATGCGCTCAGGATATACGTATAATAATTTCAGAATATATGTATAACAAGTTCAGAATATATGTATAATAATTTCAGTATATATGTATAATACGCTCAGGATATATCTATAATAAGTTCAGGATACATGTATAATCATTTCAGTATATATGTAAAATGCGCTCAGGATATACGTTTAATAATTTCAGAATATATGTATAACAAGTTCAGAATATATGTATAATAATTTCAGTATATATGCATGATATGCTCATGATATAGGCCTATGTAAAATAAGTTCAGAATGCATAATAATTTCAGGAAATATGTTTAATAAGTTCAAAATATATGTATAATAATTTTAGTATATATATATATATATGTATATGTATAATAAGTTCAGGATATATGTTTAATCATTACAGTATATATGTATAATACGCTCAAGATATACGTATAATAATTTCAGAATATATGTATAATAAGTTCAGAATATATATATGATAATTTCAGAAGAAATGTATAATGCATTCATGAAATGTGTATACTAAGTCCAGTATATACGTATAATACGCTCAGAATATATGTATAATGAGCTCAGAGCCTATGTATAATAAGTTCAGTATATATTTCCCTTACCTGATCAATAAATGTCGACTTTCCCGCCATAGGTGGACCCCAGATTTGAATAATTTTGCCAACTGGCAGCAGTGTGGAACAGTAGCCCCCCGAGAGTTGAATCTGCTGTGTGTTATGTTGTGAGGAAATAGTTTGTACCGGAAAACGGAGGTTCATTGGTGCATTCTCAGGGCAGGGCATGAGGCGAAGTTTTCCTTCAACGTCAATCTGCTGATGAACATGGTGGCCCACATGATGATGACTGCCATGTTGATGACAACAGAAAGAAGTGGGGTGGCGCTGCGGAGGATTACAATCATGATTGCAGCCACGGTCAACCTGGCATCCTTGGTTTGTTTGTCCACAATTACCATGGTGACGCTGGTCAACTTGAGCACAATTACCATGGTGACGTTGGTCAACTTGAGCACAGTGCTGATGGTAAACAGGATGTCGTGGATCACAGTTAGTGTGAATATAGCCTCTATTCGGTGGATCGCAATTCTGGTGGTGGGTCCGTTCACACTGTCGGTGGTTAGTACAGCCTAAATCTGCTGGACAAAAGTTGTGACGATAGTATGCATTGGGAGGACAACATAGCGGGGCACTGTGATGTCCTGCACCAGTGCATGAAACAGGGCGTCTGCAATCATGCGCCTGGTCATTTATTGGCTGTGGTCTCATAACAGGGCTGTCAAAAACGACATGTCCTTGTTTAAGCCGAGTTTGTGAGCTGTATGATCCATCAGCAAGCAGGTTTCTTACAAAATTTGGATCATTACCAAGTTCTAGCTTATCGCACTTTGATCCTTCCAATGCGTCATAGACGACCTCACCATTCACATCCACAAGTCCATTCATTAAGGGTGGGTTGGTCCTGTATCCTCGAAGACGCTCTCCCGAAAAGACGTCCATTTCTTCATCAACGAACCTTTTTATTTATTTGTTTTTGCAGAATAGCTGGATTCAAAAACGAGTTGCGTTAAGACTTCATTTTTCTCACAACTTTTAACATGATATAACATGTTGCAAACTCAAACAAACAAACAAAAATGTGTATACTAACAAATATTATACATCTTTTAACAAACTTCACGAAGAAACGCATTTATTTTCTGACTAATGAGCTAAAAACCAATAAAATATTCGATTCTTCTGTCTGTGGTCTCTATCAATATTATAATGTGTCTGGTGGATTGCGCTAAACCCTATATGTAGCGTTAGTTTAATTATATGACATTCTTATCAGCGTTAAAATATATGCTAATGATGATGCACAGTTAAAGAAAGTCAAAACAATAATAATAATTATGCTGGTAATTCACGTATCCTTTCGACTCAAAAAGCTTTAAATATGAATACAATTTCTTAATTATTTTTTTTAATTGGCATCATCAAGTTCTAACAGCATTAACGGACACTTACCGTCCCACTTTTAAAAAAACTGTGCGTAATTTTACGTATGTGTATGTGTGCAGTTTGGTGTGTTCGTTCGCGTCTGCTTGTGTGTTAAGGTTTAAATACACTGTTTTTTTTTAATAAGTGCTTTTGCCTTTTTAAACTGTTTCTAACTACATCGTTAGCTATACGAAATAATTTAGGCTGTGTATCCTGAGCACTTCGAATATTAGCATGTTCAAGTATTTCTACACAATCCAGCTCAGCACAGATATGTAAAGAATATTTAGCGTAAAGCTTCCCTGAACACAATATCACACACGGTGACACAAGCAAGGGAAACTAACACAGTTATATCAGCATAGGGGTAATAAACGAAGTGCCCTTGTGTAGCTATCTTATCGATTTCTCGCTGCTTACATAAACTCCAAAATAACATTTAAAATTCACAACCGTAATCCTACCTTAAAAGCTGGGACAATCTTAGAAAAGCATATCGTCCGTGACGTGTTGGTACTACGTAACCTTGTCCGTAACAATGGTTGTTAAGGACGCTCATTTTCGTTGTCTTACATGTCTCTGAGTTAAAATTAAACCATTACATTTTCACACATTTTACTATATGCGTCATTTGCAAAGGGAACGATCAACAGTAGAAAATGTCTAGAACCCAGTATCACCCTTTAAAAAAAAAAAAAAAAAAAAGAATGTCAAGGGCCATTTAAAATTAAACCATTACATTTTCACACATTTTACTATATGCGTCATTTGCAAAGGGAACGATCAACAGTAAAAAATGTCTAGAACCCAGTATCACCCTTTAAAAAAAAAAAAAAAAAACAGGATGTCAAGGGCCATAACCCCGTTGCGGTTCACAGGATAATATAGTGTTTTCCTCTGCCAGTGATATTCTCTCATATTAACTCTTTTCAAGCTGTGCACAAACTAATAGAAATGTCAAAATCATGAAAACTTTATTAAAGAAAATAAAAAAACAGCTTCAAAATGTCTGCGTGACGTTATGTTGTGCTGTGGGTGTTATTCTCTGTGTTATTAAGACATATTCACTTCCTGCAGCAATCTTGTTTCTTAGCATAGAGTTATTCTTATCCTCAAACTTTTCAAGGTTTTTATTGTTTTACAATAGGTCTGGAAGTCATATCTCTAATTTTTTTTTTAAATTTCTTTTTACACATATGAACCAAACGTATTGTTTAATCAAACTGTTAATCAAACAGAGTTTGTTTGTTTTTTTTGTTGTAATAAAGGCCTCTCCATGGACTGCCCTCCCCCCCCCTTTTTTTAAAAAAAACTTTATCGGGTCGTAAATACTAAGGGAGGTAAATCAACTATTCGATGCGACTTTTAAGTTACCGTTATTTGTACCAAGGGCAAGACCGAAAGATATCCCAATTCATTCTTTTTCCCAATCTTGTAAGGCTATATTTATATCTGATTTTTTTTCCTGAGACATATTTTCCTGGGACTTTTTTTCTGTGACTTTTTTCCTAGCAAAATTTGTGACTTTTTTCCTGTGACTTTTTCCTAGCAAAATTTGTGACTTTGTTTCCTAACAAAATTTGTGACTTTTTTCCTGCGATTTTTTTCCTAGCAAAATTTGTGACTTTTTCTTGTGACTTTTTTCCTAGCAAAATTTGTGACTTTTCTCCAGAGACTTTTTTTCTAGCAAAATTTGTGACTTTTATCCTAGCAAAATGTGTGACTTTTTTCCTGCGACTTTTTTCCTTTGATTTTTTTCCCAGCAAAATGTGTGACTTTTTTTTCCTTTGCCTTTTATTCCTTTGACTTTTTTTCCTAGCAAAATGTGTGACTTTTTTCCTAGCAAAATGTGTGACTTTTTTCCTGTGACTTTTTTCCTAGCAAAATGTGTGACTTTTTTTTTCATTGACTTTTTTTCCTAGCAAAATGTGTGACTTTTTCCTGTGACTTTTTTCCTAGCAAAATTTGTGACTTTTTCTTGTGACTTTTTTCCTAGCAAAATTTGTGACTTTTCTCCAGAGACTTTTTTTCTAGCAAAATTTGTGACTTTTATCCTAGCAAAATGTGTGACTTTTTTCCTGCGACTTTTTTCCTTTGATTTTTTTCCCAGCAAAATGTGTGACTTTTTTTTCCTTTGCCTTTTATTCCTTTGACTTTTTTTCCTAGCAAAATGTGTGACTTTTTTCCTAGCAAAATGTGTGACTTTTTTCCTGTGACTTTTTCCTAGCAAAATGTGTGACTTTTTTCCTAGCAAAATGTGTGACTTTTTTTTCCATTGACTTTTTTTCCTAGCAAAATGTGTGACTTTTTCCTGTGACTTTTTTCCTAGCAAAATTTGTGACTTTTTTCCTAGCATAATTTGTGACTTTTTTTGCTAGCAAAATTTGTGACTTTTTTCTAGCAAAATTTGTGACTTTTTTTTCTTTGACTTTGTTCCTAGCAAAATGTGTGACTTATTTCCTGTGACTTTTTTTGCTAGCAAAAGTTGTGACTTTTTCCTGTTACTTTTTTCCTAGAAAAATGTGTGACTTTTTTCCTGTGACTTTCTTCCTAGCAAAATTTGTGACTTTTTTCCTAGCATAATTTGTGAATTTTTTTCCTAGCAAAATTTGTGACTTTTTTCCTAGCAAAATTTGTGACTTTTTTACTAGCAAAATTTGTGAATTTTTTTCCTTTGACTTTGTTCCTAGCAAAATGTGTGACTTATTTCCTGTGACTTTTTTTGCTAGCAAAAGTTGTGACTTTTTTCCTGTTACTTTTTTCCTAGAAAAATGTGTGACTTTTTTCCTGTGACTTTCTTCCTAGCAAAATTTGTGACTTCTTTCCTGTGAGTTTTTTTCCGCTCACCTTTAGTTAGACACTAGAAACTACCAAGAGACTGAACGAGAAGAAACTGTCTTTGGCAACAGGCAGGCAATTTATTGCCGAGGTGTTTTAGTCTTTAGCTCGGCAACAAACTTTCCGAATTGTTTCAGCGGCCATTTTAACTTCACATCATGCTAAAACACATTCATCATCATCATACCTCAGCACATTCCGAATAATGATTGATCTCATACTTGATCTGGTGGGAGGGAGGGGGGCGGGGGGTTGGGCTCATAATGTCGTTTCCCATGTCTAGTTTCTTGTTTATATAAATTTGCTCACAGACTCCATGGAATCAGTGGCGTCACTTGGGGGCGCAGTTGCTCCGGGTGATATCCTTCCATGGGGTTGACACCCAGGGGTGTACCAAATTTACGGACAAATATTCTAAATCTCCACAATTTTTCCAGACAGGCAACAACTTTAAGGACAATTTTTTAAAGTTATAATCTTGAACCTATGAAGCTATTTTAAAAAATGTGTATCCTGACAGCTATATTTCTATGGCTCTATGTAACATAATATCAAATACTTATGCTTCTATTATCATGAACTAACTGTTTTAAAGCGAGCCTCAAAAAATGATTCATTGTCTCATTTTTTTTATAGACATCATTAAGTTCTTACGGACATTTACGGTAATTTTTACGGACTGTTTGTAAATTAATGAACGGTTGGCAACACTGTTTACTCCATAATCGAAAAGTAAACATTTGACAGAGGTCGCTTGAGTCGGTGTCATAATCATAGCATATCTAAGTTAAATATAAGTACACGGATGCCACCAGTCCAGTGTCACCAAACAGTGCCACCAGACCTAGTGTCACCGGACAGAGCACCACCAGACAGAGTGCCAGGGTGCCACCAGACCGAGGATTGCCACCAGACTGAGGAGTGCCACCAGACAGCGTGTCGCCAGAACGAGGAGTGCCACAAAACAAAATGCCACCAAACAGAGTGCCACCTAACAGAGTGCCCCAAAACAAAGTGCCACCAGACAGCGTGCCACCAGTCAGAGTGCCACTAGGCAGTGGCGTAGCTAGGGTTGGTGTCACCCTGTGCGGTAAACTCATGGTGTCACCCCCCCCCCCCAAACTTCTATGATCGATTTTTTCTTGTTAAAATAAGTCCACAGTATAGCATCAACCTTGAACTTTTAATAAAGCACGCATTTGGATTGGTTACATTTGTGAAAAATATATGTGTGATCGGTTANCCCCCCCAAACTTCTATGATCGATTTTTTCTTGTTAAAATAAGTCCACAGTATAGCATCAACCTTGAACTTTTAATAAAGCACGCATTTGGATTGGTTACATTTGTGAAAAATATATGTGTGATCGGTTATTCTTTTATGAATCTCGATTTTTGCGAGCAATGTGTGCCCTGTAAATATGCAATTTTTCAATTATTATTTTATTTCTTTTAGTTATTTAAATTAATTCCAAATTTCGAATGGCTACTTCACGTCTCTTTTTTTTTTAACAAATATTAATTGTTATCGTTATTGTTTTAAATCTTTTTTTGTCCAATGCTCAAGGTTCTCCGGCCAAGACGACGAGGCCAAAGATCGGTCAATATTTGAAGTTTTAAAATTCACAACTAAATGGGACTTCCTAGAATCTGTCCCAATCCTCTCATTAATTAAGTCAACAATATTATTTCTTATGACCTGTGTCTATGGCTTCATGGAAAAGGAGCTTTAAAAAGATGAAACTTATGCACAGCTTTTGGAGATATACTAACACGAAACTGAAACAGTCCAGTGTCCAGTTAGTAGGCCTATTGCAATTTTGTCAGTTAAGATTAATAAGGTGAGGAATGCTACCGAAATTTTGATACAGATATTGACCAGCTTGTATCTTCACGGACCAGGGAAGTAAAGCTTCAACTGTTTTAAGCTTAATGTTTCAATAAAAAAATAATTGTGATACCTTTTTTTAAACGCTGTTACCTCAAATTCTTTGTTTTTTTATTATGTCTCTCTCTCTCTCTCTTTGATGTAGGTCTATGACTTATTTTACAATGAATTCTTTACGGTAATTATAATAAGCGAGATTCTGCATGATCCGATTAAGAATTCGGTGCAGGTCCAGGGGGTTGGGGGGAGAGAGAATTCCTAAGACACACAAAAAAGTGTTGTTTGTTTTGTTTTTCTATGACTTATTTTACAATGAATTCTTTACGGTAATTATAATAAGCGAGATTCTGCATGATCCGATTAAGAATTCGGTGCAGGTCCAGGGGGTTGGGGGGAGAGAGAATTCCTAAGACAAACAAAAAAGTGTTGTTGGTTTTTTTGTTGTTTTTTTTTTTGGGGGGGGGGGGACACCATTAGTTTCCCGCACCTCGTGACACCAACCCAAGGGACGCTTCTACGTGGAACAGCAAAGTACTGCCGGAAATAAGTTGTAAAATTGCATCTTCCTTTTTTTTTTTTTTTTTTTTTTTTGTGGGGGGTGGGGACACCATTAGTTTCCCGCACCTCGTGACACCAACCCAAGTGACGCTTCTACGTGGAACAGCAAAGTACTGCCGGAAATAAGTTGTAAAATTGCATCTTCCAAAAGTTTGTAACTTCGCCTTGGTATTCTATCTTAATGTTAACAGGCCTGATATGGTTAGAAAGATTTGAACTCTTTATAATTTATAATCACAAAGCCCTAGCAAAATGGGATGACTTGTAGTACTGAATCTGATCTGGTTCTTAACTTACACAGCGACACATAACATTTTGAAGTGGTAGTAAATATGAAAAAATGGGGCAGGGGCATGAATAGCACAGCGCCTCAGCAATATACCTAGTATGACAAAAGTGGATGGAATGTTTAGGATTACCAAGAGAAAGTTACCTGCCGATATTAAACTATAATATTTTTCAATTTCAAGATGTGCAAACAACTTACGTCCATCACATTTATTTTTATTGCAAATGGCTTACCTCGCTTAAACATTTGAGGGGTCGGGCATCCTATTTTTATGTTAGCTGCAGTTACTCACTTGGCCGATACGTGGGCCTACTGTTTCTGCTTCACCCTTCTCTGGTTCATCACTTCTGCGATGTTTTGTTCGTTTAAATAAATTGGTTAAACTTGAAACAATGAACTTTTCTATGATTTGTGCTCATTAAAAAAATATGTTATTGTTTAAATAAATCTTTGTAAACATTTTTCATCTTTACAAAGTAAGTAATATGAAAATAACTGGTAGCTAGTGCAGCCATAATTTTTTAAATGAATGAATTAGATTTAAAATATTTAATTTCATATAAGCTTATATTATTACTACTATATTTGTTCCATGTATAGTGCATTAAAGACTTCCAATTCAGTGGCTGTCAATTTTAAACTGTACATTTTAGCTTACTATACAGACCTGCATTACTAATATATATATTTTTTTAAACATATGTACCAAAGATCAGCAAAAACATATTCACATGCTTGGCTTAGTAATACTAATACATTGAAATTAAATTTAACAAAAGCCAGCAGAAAGGCTTGTGGAAATGCATGAAATAAAAATAACCTTTATCATTTCAATTTGGCCCTGGCAGAGTATCTAATAGTGTAGATATTTCAAATTGGCCCTGGCAAATATCTGATGGTGTAGATATCTTTTCAAATTATCAAAACATCTGATGGTGTAGATATCTTTTCAAATTATCAAAACATCTGATGGTGTAGATATCTTTTCAAATTATCAAAACATCTGATGGTGTAGATATCTTTTCAAATTATCAAAACATCTGATGGTGTAGACATTTCAAATTATCAAAACATCTGATGGTGTAGACATCATTTCAAATTATCAAAACATCTGATGGTGTAGACATTTCAAATTATCAAAACATCTGATGGTGTAGACATCATTTCAAATTATCTAAACATCTGATGGCGTAGAAATCATTTCAAATTATCTAAACATCTGATGGCGTAGACATTTCAAATTATCTGAACATCTGATGGTGTAAACATCATTTAAAATTATCTAAACATCTGGTGGCGTAGACATCATTTCAAATTATCTATACATCTGATGGCGTAGACATCATTTCAAATTATCTCAACATCTGATGGTTTTAGACATTTGAAATTATCAAAACATCTGATGGTGTAGATAACATTTCTAAGTCTGTACTTTCCTTGTCTAATATTTCCCAGTGACAATCTGTAATAAATTCCCTTCAACCTAATCCCCAAAAATCAGTTTTAATAGGAACACATGAGGTGTAAAAGTGTAATAGTTATAGAAACGTCAAATAAAACATAGAGCTAATTTCATTATTATCTTCAATGGAGTTTAAAATATGTTTTTAAAAACAATTAAATTGTTGTACCGATACCCTTCATTTTATGTTAAGTTCTGATTTCAACAGATAGTAAAATAATTAAAACTTGTAATTTAATTTCAAAACAGACACATTACAATTGTGCGGCATGTTGTAAGTCAAAGCACATAACCATTGTGTGGTATGTTATGCTTGTCAAACCAAATAAACTGTGTGAGGTGTGTCAAAGCAAACACAACAAGATTCAACAAAAGTGAAAAACAGGTATAACAGCATGCCAATACATTCTAATACCATGGAACAGAAAGGGCAGTAACTTGTAACTCAACCGCAATATTTTTAGATTTAATAGCAACTGATGTACTCTCAGGACAAAACAGTATTTCCGTTTAAGCGATATATATATATAATTTTTATATTTTAACAAGCAAGTAAAACCCACAAATGAACTATCACTGTAAATTTTTTTTTTTTTAAAAAAAGCTACTTATAAAAATAAAAGCTGCTTATTTAATTTTAAGCAACAGATGGCTCCTTACTATACGAGTGATCAAAGGGTACAGGATGGTACACACCATTTGATATCTGAGATTTCTTAAACACCAGCTCTGGACTGATGACGGTGGCTTTTTGGGGGATTGATGGAGAGAGACCTACACTGGAAGAGACCAACCTGGGTTGGAACCAAGATGGAACCAATTGCGAGGAACTGATGGAGCGGGGAGATTGAGGAGGTCTTGAGAAAGGAGAACGCGGAGGCCCGGAGGGGAGAGAATCGGAGAGCTTGGAGGGGGGAGATAGCGGAGACTTGGCATTGACAACAATGAATTTAGCATTGTTGTATGAATAAACCTGAGGCTTTTTGAACAGGTTGTCCGAAAGTTTGGTGAAGGGGGAAGCGGTGGTGGTGACAGGTTGAGAGCCCGCTGTTACAGACTGGGTGTCGGTGATGGTTTTCGGGGAGGCTGATCCAGTTAACTGAGATGCTTTTGAGCCAAAACAAGCGGCGGCAGGTGGTGGTGAAGAAGTGGTGGTTGCAAAAGAGATGTCAAAAATATTGGTCAGTTTTTCTCGTGTTGAATTCAAGGCGTGCGTCGTGACGGACGCAGCTGCGGTCTTCTTCCCATCATCCAAACTGGTGCTACTTTTGTTTGCATCAGCGTTAACCTTGCCTACAAAAACTGATGATGCCTTGTTGCTACTGTTACATTCGACACCTACGTTGTTACTGTTAAATTCAGCATCTCTGTCGTTGCTGTTGCATTCAGCATCTCTGTCTGCACATGCCTCGCTTCTAAAAGCTCTCTTGGGTTTCTTTACGCGGGTCGCTGAATCCCCCACAGATGACGAGTGCGTTGTTGAAGCTGATCGACCGGCTGACTTTGGAGGCCGTCCTCTAGCCTGTTTGTCCCGAACCAATGCTGCCCTTGGGGGCTCTGAAGTTGTTTTTCGAGGGCTTGAGGCATTTGGCCTACCCTTCTTGCTGGCTCCTCCGGATCTACGTTCAGTGTCCAAGCCAACCGTTTTTGAGTTACAAGCTCCAAGTTCAACGTTGTCTCTATCACAGCCACCACCAATAGTGTCACTCTAATAGGAAGAAAAAGATTGTACATAATGAAATGGCTTACTTTTGAGAAATATGTTTGTTAGTAAATATATTAAGACAGGATGAGAGGGCCCACTGTTCTTTGGGTACTTTTTTTTACATCCATATTAATATTAGCATTGGTGTATGTTTTAGTAAAAGTTGATGTAAATATACCTTGGTGCTGATGTAGAATTAACAAGAGGGTCGATGAATTTGGGAACATACTCTGGACAGGTAATTTACATTATATATTTCTCCACCAAAATCACAGTTTTATTTCTATAGTTTTATGACCACTGACCTACTTTACAAATGGTAAGGATGGAAGTACGGATGTAGTTATAGGTATTCAGAGGCAAGATTGAGAATATTTTAATGAAACAGAAGTCACATAAATTAAGCAGATTAAACTGCCTTGACAAGAGAGAACAAGTAGAAGATAAACTAGTTTAAAACAGCCAGTCATACCGGTACCGGTGCTTGACAAGAGAGAACAAGTAGAAGACAAACTATTTAAGACAGCTAATCATTCTGGATGAAATAGCAAAACGAGGTATGTGGAAGCTTGAAATAAGATAACAGGACAAAAAACAAGGAAGTTTCGGCATAAAGCCTTCCTCAGCCTAAAAATAATCATTCTGGACCTGTACTTGAGAAGAGAGAACAAGTTGAAGACAAACTGGTTTAGACAGTCAGTTATATCGGTACTTGACAAGAGAGAACAAGTTGAAGACAAACTGGTTTAGACAGTCAGTCATATCGGTACTTGACAAGAGAGAACAAGTTGAAGACAAACTGGTTTAGACAGCTAGTCATATCGGTATTTGGCAAGTTTAAGATTATGAACAGCCCCAGACCAACTAAACACAGATTCCATGCCATAATTAGACAACAATTAGCTACAACTTACACAATAGAATTCAAAAAGATGGTGAACTATATGGGTTTTCAGGCCAAATGAAACACATTTTAATGGTTTTTTCCATAATTTAAGAACTACAGGGAAGAAAAAGTACATTATAAAACAGGCAGGTTTGCATACATGAATGTTGTACTGTGCTCTCAACTTTCATTCCATGGTGTTCTTTTTTTACCATCAAACAATCTCACTTCATGGTCTACATGTTTGACCATCAAACAATCTCTTCCATGGTCTACATGTTTGACCTTCAAACAATCTTAATTCATGGTCTACATGTTTGACCATCAAACAATCTCACTTCATGGTCTACATGTTTGACCATCAAACAATATCACTTCATGGTCTACGTGTTTGACCATCAAACAATCTCTTCCATGGTCTAAATGTTTGACCATCAAACAATCTCTTCCATGGTCTACATATTTGACCATCAAACAATCTCTTCCATGGTCTACATGTTTGACCATCAAACAATCTCATGTCATGGTCTACATGTTGACCATCAAACAATCTCACTTCATGGTCTACATGTTTGACCATCAAACAATCTCAATTCATGGTCTACATGTTTGACCATCAAACAATCTCTTCCATGGTCTAAATGTTTGACCATCAAACAATCTCTTCCATGGTCTCATGTTTGACCATCAAACAATCTCTTCCATGGTCTAAATGTTTGACCATCAAACAATCTCTTCCATGTTCTACATGTTTGACCATCAAACAATCTCTTCCATGGTCTAAACATACTCACACACAAGTTTTTTTTTTTGTAAATGTATTTCCCTTGAAAATTGAAACAAATGGTAAGAAAGGGATTACAGCCTTAGAAACAAATAAAATGTTTCTCAACCTGCATTTAGCGCAACCCATGAGACAGTGCACCCAATAAATTTTTTTTAGGAAATGAAAAACAAAATTAAATCAAATTCAAAGTCCCCTCAAGTAGCAGCCACAAAACAAAATGTATTAATTCACAAAATGAAGACAATGGCAGAGAAAGGCCATGAGACATCAATAGTTTAATTCCAATGTTCCACTTCAATATATGTGAGGAATTGAACAGCCCCAGCTCCACTGATAAATGTGAGAAACTTATTTGTGGTAAATTTCCTATTACAATATTTTAAAAGAGTTGTATATTTAATAAATCAAGTAGTATGGTACACACACACACATACAAAAAAAGAAATTCTGAACAAAAAGTTCAAAGCATGTTTTTGAGATTGATGATTTCTGCTAGAAAGATTTTTTGTTTAGCTTTTGAATTTCTGATAAATTAGTAGTTTACACTGACTTCTATCTGAATTCTTGTGGGTCCATTAAAGTCCTCTTAGTGCTGGACTGGTAGCCTAACCAACTCTCTCCAATCTGTTCCATCAAGACTTAATCAAGGGTGATATAATTTATATAGAAACATGTTATTTTAGATTTTATTCATCCATTTCAAATATGTTTTGAGTACGGCATAACTTGAAATCCCAATTTAAAGGGTGCCCATTTGACCATTGATGAATGAATTAAAGACTAAAACAAAACAATATCTAAGAAAGCCATATATTTTTATGAAAATATTCTTACGAAGCAAAAAGGTTTGAGACAACAAGGAAAATACTGAAGATAAGCAAGGCTTCATAATGAAGGATGTCTTTGTTGCTGAAATACGTAGGCCACATCCAACAGAAGAAAACAATAAGATTTTTTTTGGTGCTAAATCATGTGGGCAACATCTGACAGAAGATGTACAAAAAATAACACCATCATCACAACCCCAATATTGTCAAAGTGAAAGCTTTATGGCCCTAACGTTATTCTCCAAAAATAAAATATAAGTTAATGAAAAGATGATAAATTACAGTTGCAGTGCCACTGGTTTTGGCAGATTGTTGCCAGTCTTAAAGAAAGATGAATAAACAGATGTCACAGTTCATCCATTATTCATTGATTATAAATGATCTATCATTGCTAACTTGGTAAGTGCCAAACATGTAACAGAAGCAATGAAATAAAGAGATAATGCATAAAAAAAAGTAACGCTTGTTAAATAAATTGCATAGCTCGTCTAATTGTCTTTAGGTAAGCTAAAAAATTATTTTTTTTTAACTTAGCTGCCGGTTTTGTGTTAGCGTGTACTAATTTTTACATTAGGTAAAAAAATTTTTAGCTATGAAAATTTTCAATATTAATTAGTCAAGACTTGCAAAATCCTGTTATTTTTTTTTTTTCAATGCCAAAATTTAAAATGAATCTCAAGAACTATATAACCACCTTATTAGTAGATAAAGAAGTATTTAACAATCAACAAGGATTTGATGCTATATAAGTATTCAATCAATCAATTTCAAGGTTTATGTGAACAAAAATTTTTTTAAATAATTAGAAGTTGTTTTATCTACTCTCACATTTTCTATAATACAAAATATTAGAAAATAAAATTTTTTATACTTTTTTTTCTTTTAATTGGTCATGCTCTAATGTTACTGAAAATTTTAATTATATTTCACCATAAAAACATTATATAGTTTATTTTTATCAAGGGCAATGCTGCGTTTAAAACTCAATAAAAGCGCGTTTTTTCTTTTAATATAGAACATTCGCAAAAAGAATGTGTTTTAGTTTTTTTTATGGGTACAATGAATAAATAGTAAATCAATGATGAAATGATAATAACAAACTGAATGATCAAAATGCAGTGTGCTCATTACAACCTATAAACAAAAAAAAAATCACATCTAATTTGTGATCCTTTCAAAAAAGTAATTATTTAAAATTTAATGCAGCAATAGCTAAGATTGTTGAAGACCTATTTCAAATACTTTTTGACTAAGGTTCAATGTCACACGGGTGTCCACTAAAAATGATTATGGAAGGTATAACACATGCTAAAGCTGAATTATTTATTTTTAAAACACATGGGGAAATTGGGTGATGGTATTTTATACTGTAATTAGGGACTAGTGACATGGAACGCTTTTATTCTTTTTAATTTTACAAATAGAAGATTGTCTGTTAATATTAAATCGTCCTTTATAATATATGTAAAATATTAAACATCAAAAAGACAGAAACAGTACATAGGTCTTAAAACATTTGGCAGTTGTTGCATTATAGGGTTTCATTACATATAAATTTGATGAGTGACATGCATACTGTATAATTACTTCTAAAAAAGAAATACCAAAGCAACAATTGAAAAATTAAAAGTAGAATTAAATCAGAGATAAGGCGTTGCTTCTAATTTCAAAATAGAACTCGGTCTCCAACGAGCGAGAGATTTCATTTGAAATCAGACTATTAATGAGGTGGCGACAAGCTACTAATTTTGGGAACCCTTCTTCTTCTTCTTCTATATCTTATAACAGCTAAGACCCTAATGACTTCAGCTGTGTCACTGTTCAAATGGAATTTCATATCTACCTATATAATCACACACAAAAATATTATACCACACTATAATATAATTAAAACCTTTGGGGGCTGGATGTTGTAGTTCTGTCAATCTCATTTTAATCAACATCATCATTCTCAAATGCTTGAGTTGTACATCATAACTGAATTTACTTGCAAGTAATACAAATGGGAATAAGGCAGAAGTGAAAAAAATTTTGATAAATTGCACAAATAAGTTTTCAAATCTGTCATATATTAACTAAAGTAAATTTGTCACAACTTATGTTTTCAAAACTTACACACTTTTATATCTTTTAATAATTCCACTGATTTGGTTAAATTTATAACTTAAGCGGAAATGCTGATTTTAATCAAATGCAAACAAAGATGGTTGACCATGCTAGGGAAAAATAAAGTAATCCTTTCTTAAAATTGTTATTTCATAAGGACTGATGGTTTATATCTTTTTAAAAAAATAAATTTTACTTATAATTATACATCTTTAATCTTGCTCTCCAGGCAGTCAATTTGATTATTTGTATTAAGGTTTAACAATTTAATAAATTATCCCAAAATCTAACTAAAAAATTATGGGTAAGCCATCACAACATAAATAAAATGTTCATAATAAAAGTTAAAAGAAATGTGTTAAGTTTGTAGTTCCATTTAATTGCAAGTCTACATAATTTAATGAACTTCTCATTAAAAAAAACTGAAGACCACATAAATTTATACATCGCCTAAAAATGAATGTAACCGAAGAATGTTCTGGATTATTTTAAGAATATTTAATAGGCCGCCTGACAACAATGGCTACGAAGCATGAACTGCCCAACAACTAAAGTTACCGGTACTAGACAAAACATGCACTCAAGTAGCCACTTTTTAAGTATCCCATTTAGTGTGCTACAGCCATCCTCCCAAGGTATGCCCCCCCCTCCACCCAAACTAATTAATATTTTTATGTCCCACCCCCTTTTACACAGAGGATTTTATTACACAATATTTAAATTGAGATTATTTCAATTACCAGTAAAACAAAAGAAAATATAACGCGCCAAAAGCTCTTGCGGTATTTTTCAGAATCTCATTTACCATAGTAATTAGTTATTTTATTTTGCACACTGTTGGACTCACAATTACACCAAACTGTCTTTTATACCTTGAGAATTATATAAATTGATCCTTACAGATTCCCTCTTAAATGTCAGTGAACAAAGGATCATTAGGCGTGTTTTATAAAAAAATCTGTGTATGGTAACTAGTTATTGTCAGAAGATCATCTCATTTAATCTAAACATGCATAGACATAATTGAAATGTTATATTTTTAGTTGCCACTTTGATATTTATTTGAAATTTAAATATTAAATTATTTCTTTAAAAAAAAAATTAAAACTATAATAGAAAGAGAAAACCATTGCACAACTACTCTCTTGCTTGCACATAAACAGCCTTTGCTGAAAGGAAACATTTAAACACAAGTTAACAATGAAATTTATCCTGAGATGCTTTTGACATTCAAAATGTTGAAAAATATCAATAAATAACTTTTCCACCCCATTTATACTCATGGCATCATTCCGTGTTCACTTTAGGCATTTGGCCTCAAACACTGATGATGCCTTGAGCATGGGCACGGAGGGTTCTGTACTTGTAGCTACGAGAAAATCTAACACAGGCTTCTTGGGTTATTGCTGGGATGTCAGTCAGGGCCAAGAAGCTCAGCTCTCTGCAGGAGGCAAGAGAGTCAAGACAACGCTCTGTCAGCTGCACGCACTTCACAAGCCGTATCTCACGCAGACGGCACGGAGCCCCCATCTGCACAAGAGCTCTTATGCCTCTGTCCGTGACCCTCATGCAACAGGTCAGATCCAAGGCCATGAGCTTCGGCAGGTGGGTGGCGATGACCTCAAGGCTCTGATCATTTATGTCTGTTCCAGTAAGGCTGAGTCTCTCGAGGCGAGAAAGGCGCGAGATGTTTCGTTGACCGGGCTTGAGGTTGATGGGAGGCGAGGCCAACTCCCTGAAACACAGGTCTCTTATGCCTGTGGCCCAGCTCAGGTTAAGTGATCGCAGGAGAGGACAGTCGGAGGAGCACAGGGCACAGATTGATGCCCACGACAGATTGGACAAATCAAGGTGCCGCAGCCCAGGCAACCGGGCAATCAACCAGGATAACTGTGCATAGGAAATGACCGAAGATGCCAGCTTCAAAGATCTAGGCTGTCGAAGCATTGTACCTTTAAGATGAACTTGCTTAATGCTTTTTCGAGACAGGTTGATTTGCTGCCATAGTGCAGGATCTAGGGCCCAACAATCAAAGGTCCTACATACCGAAGACAATGTGACTAGGTCAGATTGAGGGAGGTAACGGAAAATCAAGGTCCATATTGCGTGTGGAAGTGGATGTGGGGCATCACTGGCCATGGGTACAAATTCTGGGATATGTGATGGAGGAGCAGGACGAACAACATAATTCTTCAGGGGGACTTTGGGGGCATAATCTGTGCCCCAGCGTAATCGTTCAGGCGAGTATCCGGGCACATGACCTCCATTGCTGTCCCGTTGGGTGGCACTTTTCCCTTCTTCTTTTTTATTGGATGAACCTTCACTTCCTTGTTGCTGAGACTGGCTGGAGTCAGATGTTGGGATTCCCAAGGCGTTCATTGAAGAGGATGAAGATAGGGGAGCCTGTACACCCTTGTGATAAGGAGGCTGTGGGGAAAATGATGTTAATAAGGATGAGATGGATGAAGTGGGCAGTGGTGAAGGAGCTGCTGTGTTATTTGCACAGCATCCACCCCCATCACCTTCACCAGGATGCAGAGCTCCATACTTGAGTTTTGATTTCTTGATCACACCCCCGCCTGTTGGAGTTTCCTGGGCATCCTCCCAATGTTTCTGTAGTCCATCATGCACCTTTCCTTGGATGACCATGGCCCCATCACCCATCGCACACGCAGGACCCTGGGAAGGGAGGGAAAAACTGGTTCCAGGAATGAAATTTATTTTAAAAGGTACAAAATTTTAAGCACAAGTTGTAACAATTAAAAAATGTACAAGGCATGACCACCACAAATAAAAGCATTAAATCTGTAAACTGTGATAAATAAATCTAGGAGAGCAGTGTTGCTGAGAACGTGACTAATGAGGGAAAGAGTCTTTAACTTAAGTTCATTAAATCCTTAGAACTTAAGCACATAAATATATTTGTATATCTATATAAATAATGCAGAACTTTTTAAAATAAAATTATTAGTACCAGTGAAAAGAAAGAGATTAAAAAGAAAATAACATATGGACTAATTTGCATCACTCATGAGATAAAATATTTTACAAGGTACTTCTTGCAAATGTCATGGACATTATTTTGAGACATTAAATTAAATTAATGGTAATGATTTCTTCAGTTTTTACTTTACCACAAAATAATATAATCCAAATATTGGTATAGATCTAAAGTGTTTTCATGAATATAATCTATTTCAATTGTTTTACTGGAAATAAGAGTTCTTAAGGAGATTTTTTTTTGATGCTATAAATTTTTTTTTTAATTAAATTTTTTTTTTTTTTTTTTAAGAACTTATTTAAACTAACATTTAAATGCACTTTTCAGACCGACAGGGGAATTTCTGTGGAAGGGAAAGTGCCCAAAGGTTTAATTAATAGGACACTAACATAATTTGAACACTTCGAAACAATTCTAAAGTTTTTTCATGAATATAATCTATTTTAATTGTTTTACTGGAAATAAGAGTTCTTAAGGAGATTTTTTTTTGATGCTATAAATTTTTTTTTTAATTAAATTTTTTTTTTTTTTTTGTAAGAACTTATTTAAACTAACATGTAAATGCACTTTTCAGACCGACAGGGGAATTTCTGTGGAAGGGAAAGTGCCCAAAGGTTTAATTAATGGGACACTAACATAATTTGAACACTTCGAAACAATACATTCATCTCATTAGGCCAAAATCAGCATCCCAAAAATAATGCATGATTGTATGAACAAGTCTTCCAGGTCAAATTAATCATTGCCAGGTGCTGCTCATTTATAAATTTAAAAAAAAAATTTAAAGTGTAAACTGAAATGTTTGAAACCAAATGAAAAATGATTGCAATGCCAACCACATATAAGAAACACAAAAGCAACAGAGAACAAAGGGGATCAAAATAACAGGATAACTGAAAGCCACATAGAAAAAAAACTGTACAAAAAAAGAAGGATGCTGAATTCCCATTTTTTTTTAGTTCATTGCTTTATTTTACAAGTATTTCTTTTCATCCTCAACGGATTCCAAAAATAATACTTTTTTATTGTTTTTACATGCAGTATATTAACAAATTTAATAAACACTGTAAAGAAACATTAACGCTGGAGATTAACAAAACAACGAGGAAATTCAATGATTTCCTTCACATGTCAACTTTATTTAAAACATACTCATCAGTGTGATCTGATGTCTCATTATTTAAACAGCACATCCCTGGTAAGCTATAGAAACTTGATCTCAAAGGTGCCATTATTAAAACTATATATATATTTTGGGGGGTTTTAGTCCCATTTACTTGTATATATGCCTTTGAAAGGTTTAAGAATTTATATCATGAAAACAAACAATTAAAATATAGTTAATATATCAAAACAAATCAATAAATTTGTTGGTGTATGACTTTTTAAGTAAGCCAAACAGGCAGTACTGAAACATGAATTATATTGAAAGTGTAATAAGTGATTTTTATACAGCAGGGGTTCTAAGACACTTCAATTGATATATATTCCGCAACAAAGAAAATTAATTAACACCATGATTTCTATCACATTCAACAAGTTTTAATGAATTTTTATCTGTATTCTGGGATTTGCGAAGCCTGCTTTAAGAACCACTGCTGCATGGGATTAAATCTGATGAAATCTTGAGCAGAGGCGTAACTATAAAGTAATTTTTAAAAATTTTTTCAATGGATCATGTTATAATATTTTATACTTTTTAAACAGAGAATTATATTTTAACATCAGCCTGAAAAAAAAAAGAATTTTTCTCTGGATTCCAGATTTGTTACGCCACTGTTGCTCAAAGATGAAATAATTTAGCTTGAACTCAAAGAATGAAGTCACAGAATAACAATGATTGTTAGAGCTGATTAAGAAATAAAAGCAGGTCTACCTACTCTCAAGGCTAAGCTGTTTTATAAAATTTGCTGTGGGATGCCTGGTAGACAGAAAACATTGTTGGAAAATATGTAAGGTTTCAGAAGGTAACTAGATAGAACCATAAAGACTTATATAGTTATCCTTGATTAGCTTTTGGTGCAGTTAATGCCTGGGCAGTGGGATGCGGGGAAACAGGTAAAAAGCAACCTCTGGAAAATGAGTAAAGCTTGACGAAAATAGGCCCAGTTACAGCACTCACTGACTCTCAGTGTTCAGAAAACTTGAATGAATGAGATCGGACAAGAAACAATACTGTTTTACACACTTTTATCTAGAGTGATGCAAACGATGTGCTGCAACTAATGGTAAATTTTTTGATCCAGCTGAATATAATTTCAGTCTAGACTATTATTCCTGTCATAAACTGTAATGAATCAGGTGCGATTATTGCCATGCTGGAAAAGCGGCCACGTACATTATAATACATATACACAGACACAAGCAGTGGCAGGCCAACAACTATACAGAGGGTGGGAGGGTAAAAGAGGTGGCTGATCAAATCATTTAAAAGTTGAATGCACATATTAATAGGACTGGGGGAACATGTAGGGATCCACCACTGCACACGAGTCTCAACAATCATAAAAGCAGTTCTCAATTGAAACGCTGCCTGGTCATTGACTGGGCCAAAAATTAATTGATTGTAAAATGTGCCACTGCAAGGGTTTTGGTAGAAAAAGAGGTTTCCAAAGCAAATTACGAAAGAAAATTAAATGATTTTTTTTTTTTTTAGTTTACTGCCTCATGAAACTGAGCTAGTTTTAAAAATTATTTGCAGAAACTCATGGAATACATAAAGTTATATGCTTGTAACAATATAAAAAGAAAAAGGTTTTATGCTGTCTTGTAAGGTGATGAAAACTCTGCTTTAAATGTCTTGAACATTTCTCAATGCAAGGGTTATTTGAATCATGAGTTAGTTTTATTAAGCATCAAGAATTTTTAGTATATTCATGATATATACTTTAAGAAATATATATTTATTTTATTTATATATATATATAGCACATTAAATAATTATTTTGTACAAACTGAAGATTGGTCACTTAGTAATTGATTGAATAATTTTTTTTAAATGTGAAAATGGAATACAGACGGACAAGGACAAATATTGTATTTATATTGCAGAGCTTTGTTCCCATCACCCTTTTAATAATTTAATCAGGTTTTTTTCTTCATGTTTCTCTCTATCTACAGGTAAAATAAAGAATGGGGTAGGAAAACTTGAGGGAAAAAAACATAGCCAGATTGCAGTTTTCTATCTCTCAGACTTCACACAGCATAAAATAAGTTATTTTCATATTATTTCATTTGTACTTTTTTTGTTCAGTGAAGAAGGCTTTTTGCTGATACGAATATAATTTTGTCTTCATTCAAGTTTTCCACTAACACTAATTTTTTTTTTAGTTTCTTTTACACAGCCTGATTGCATTCTCTCACTATATTATATTTATGTTTTATAATAACATTATATTAAAATGCAACTTTATTGCCTTTAAATATTGAGTTATCTTTCCCCAAAATACACAATATAAAATTATGTTAAATTTCTAAAGAATTTGAATCATTTTCAGTATTGATAATATATATATATATTTACACATATAAACAATGAAATTTACGCCAAAATGAATATGTATAAAAAATTGGAATAGATCAAGGATTTTCCAAGACTTTAGAGGTAGATTTGAGTTTTTAAGCAATCCAGGAAATGCATTCTCTTGGGACATACATCCTCACACACAGATATAATATTTCAAATTCACCCAATGAGACAGAATGTTGACAAATTGCCTGATAAATTAATGTATTCATTTTCTCTATCTCATGGAACAATGAAGAGATCGGTTAACAATAATTCATTATAACAAGTTAAATGTAGAAAATAAAACCATATATATTGATATAATAGTATTTTGAATGATTTCCCATACATAGATATATAAATTCTGTAAGAAATAATCAATGAAAGTTTGCTTTCATCGTTCATCATTCAAGTCAGCTAAAATTGCTTAATCATTCCATTTTTTAAAATATTCCCCCTTATGGAAAACAATACTTTTAAAAATGTTTTATGCTCTAAAAATAATTCCCTTCTTTTTTTCATTTAATAATGTTGAAATCCTCTCTCAAAAATTCAATTAAAATATGAAGACTTATTCTACACCATTTTCTAACTTATTGCATCCATTGCTTGCATTATCTTACCAAACTATATGACTTTGTGAACATTATTTTAAGGCTGCGGCTAATCTGACACAGGATTCAGACCAAGAAGGAGTTCCTTTTAGACTAAATGGCTATTCGGATGTCATTTGTAGTAGTTTATTTTAGTTAAACTGAAGAAGTAAGTTTACAAACATATAGTCCATTCAGTTATCTTTCATTTGATACCAAATATAGTCTTACAAACCCAGCAATATTTTGAACAATTTTTTAATAAACCCAACCTCTCATTCTTTTCCGGGTCTGAATAGCCACTTCATTATTTAAAACACTATTGAAAAATTATAAACCTTTTTATGAACTTTGAAAAAAAAACCCTCTCTAATAATAAAATTATTTTGTTTGTTTGTAATAACATCCTTATTTTTAGAGCCTTTTAGTAATAAAATTAGGGCTATTTCTTGGAAATAATATATATAAAAGTTCTTCCAATATTCTATGATTGAATAGGAAAACATTTTTAAAAGAATAAAAATATTTAAAGCAATAACTCTTTTTTTTTTAATTGTATTAAATACAGGGGCCCTATATTATCTGCAAATTAGTGCTTTGTTGGGTGTTTTTTTGAAAAAATCATTGGAATTGTTATATCTGCCTAACAATCATGTCAAAGCATTACATTGAACATACAATACATTCAGACATAGCATTCAATTCTACATTGAAAATACAATACATTCAGACACAACATTACATTTTACATTTAAAATACAATACATACAGACACAGCATTACAATGAACATACAATACATACAGACACAGCATTACATTTTACATTGTATATACAATACATACAGATACAGCATTACATTAACAATACAATACATACACAGCATTACATTAAACATACAATATTACAATACATTCAGACACGGCATTACATTTTACATCCAATATACAATACAGACAGACGCAGCATAACATTTAAAAGACAATAAATACAGACACAGCATTACATTGAAGATACAATACATACAGACAGCTCAAGAATTATATATTGTATTTGTCTAAATCTGAAGTTATGTGAATTTCTTTTTTTTAACTGAATAAAATAATTTATCCTTGCTGAAAGTGACTTGAACATTATGATCAAAGCATAAAGATAATGTTAAATGTTGCCATGATATGTTAGTTGCATGTAAGGATAGTAGTATCCATAAAAGGAATAAACCAAACAACAAAAGGGAAATATTTACAATATGCTGCCAAAAACAAATGAAGAGTAGGGCTCAAAAAAAAAATCCTTCTCATACACTTATATTTAATTTCTGCCCTTGCCTTAATGGTTATAGTGGAAAAAGGTATGTGGAAGCTTGAAATATAAAGACAGGACAATAAGAGAAGAACTTATCAGCTAAGAGCCTTCCTCAACCGGAAAGTTCTTCTTTTATTGTCCTGTCTTTATATTTCAAGCTTCCACATATCCTTTTCTAATATTTCCTTCACACAGCTTGAATGCAGTCCTTCATTTTTTATCTTACTGGATTTGTAGTGAATTCTTCAAGATAGCCTTAGTAAATAAGGAATGCAAGGAGATTTAAAAGTCTGACAATTTATGATCTAAAGAGCCCCACAAAATTTGAATAAATTATTGTTTTTCAAAACAGAAAAATGTTTTGTTATTTGGGGGTTGTTATTTTTTAACTTAAATGCTACATTTGAACAGACCGTCTTTTTTTTTCTTCAATTTACCTAAGTCATCTATTGACATCAAGGGACTTAAGCAGTGATATCTAACAGAATGGTATATAGAATTGTTTCCCCATAAACCTGAGTAATGTCAGTTTTTATATAGAGTACAATACATGAAGAACAAAATTATATTGAGCTGCACAAATGATCCATAGCATCTTGAGGTGACACCAACTCTGCTCAGTAAGAAAGCACTGACATGCAAGCATAATACAGAGAAAAACCAAGATAGACTGAAATTAGGGTAAGAGACGGGGGACATTGCTTGAACTGTTTTAGAAAAGGTACAAAAATTAACTGTGTTGGGTTGTCGAAGAAAAAATACTTTGACAAAAATAAATTTTGTAACAAATAAGAAAATGACCTATCACTCTTCCAAAAAAAAAATTATTAAAGTTTACAAACATGAATTCCCAAACATTTTATAGATCAATTTCTACACATTGTTAGAATAAATGATGTGACGTAAATGGGAACAAACAAGATATTTTTATGAATAATCTGATTTCAATCTAAAAATCTGCGAGGGACAACTACCTCTCTTTTAGGTCTTTTGCCTCCTGATTCTGTAAGCTGGGATGATGATGTATTTTTCTCTCCAATGCTACTTGGGGTGGACATTGGACGTTTGCGAGGATGTTTGTTATCTGAACTGGATGGTGAGTTTGGTGCGGAAATCTGAAGATGTTTTTAAAATGTATTTAAAAATTACAGTAAAAATCATTTGAAAAAATCTTAAGTCATCTTCAAAGGTTGATGAGGGCATTTAGTCTAAGGGCCGTGCAAATAAATTTACTTCTTTTAGATTTGGAAGAATATAGAACCTAATTACAATATAATCACCTCTTCAATGCTGAAGGAGATCATTTGTAGCATAAGAGGTATAAATATTGTTTTTACAAATTAACCATAGGTAGGTGCCTGCATTGATCTCAGTCCTGCTAATTAATCATCTTAATAGTTTTAGGACAAAATAATTTGGTCAAACAAATTTAACAAATAGTTTTATAGCTGGTACTCCTTTCACCAAACTGATAAAAGATATTGCATTTATACCTTTTCTTTTTTAATTTGTTTCTTTTGATCTTTCAATGGTAACTGGGGAGTATTCCTTTTCTTTTGACCGTCTTCTCTGCTCTGAGATGAAGGCATTGACTTTTGTGGTGAGGGAGGGCCATCTTCTGATTTGACCTTTACATCTGGTGGGATGGGCATTTTCTTGGGAGGTGAAGGCCACTTAGGAGCTCCCAGTTCTGTTTTAATAAAGGGCTCATCACCAACACCATTTTTGGGCCTGCCTCCTTCTTTAGAGACAACCCTTTTACCTTCGACTGGGCTTATAGGTGAAATCGGATCTTCATCTAAAGCTCCGTCACTTTCAGGAGAGAATCGGTGTTCCTCCATCTTAATTTTCTTAGAAGATACCCCTGGCCTTACACGAGGCTGAAAAAATGAATCAACTTGTCTTAAATATTTATACATTGGATATTTAGCAATTGCCAATACAGGGTCTGGAAACATTTTGCTTTCACATGTTAACCTGTAGTATTAATTTTATAGATTTTCTATGTCTTTCCTATTTAAGTAATTTTTATGAGGAACTTTGATGCAGCCAACTGTAAAATATATTAAATTAAAAATATCATAGTTAAAATGCATGAATGCAAAGAAATAATACAAAGTTCCAACAAATTGTAAAAAAAATCTTTTACATTTCACATAAAAATCTAATAGAACATGAAGCATAGATACCTTCAGCTGGCCTTGTTTTCCTTCATTGCAGCATTTAGAACACTCCCAGCTATTTGGCAAGTCTTCATTTACAACACCATCATTGTCCAGATTTTCATATCTATTTAGAGGTAAACAAGCAACTTCATTTACAGCATATTCATTCAAAATTCTCATATCTATCTGGAGGTAAACAATGAAAATTTACATTTTTTTTTTTAAAGTATACAAAAAGGTAGGGGGGAAAAATGTGCCTTATATCCAATTTATTAATGGACTTTTGTAAATTAAAACTAACTTTTTCTGTAAACAAGTTGGATGAACAATTTCCCAACAAATGCCACACTCCATAAGCAAGTGTGCAACATCATCTGAGTCATCAGGGTTAGGTTGACCCTCTTGATTGCAAATCATACACACAGAAGAGCTAGGCAGCACAGGCTGAAAAAACGCAATAATAAAAGATGATAAAATTATGAACTGGCCATCTTGAAGGATGATTAAAAAGTTTCTGGAACCATGACGCTATTTTATAACTCTCACTATGACGTCTCCTTTCTTAAGACTATTGAAAGATACAATATGAAATATTATGAGATCACTAGCTTAGTTCTTTCAGCCCTGATAAAAGAGAGCTCTACTTTGCCAAGAAGAGGCCTTGCAACCAAAACCAGGTTACATTCGATGCCCAAAAGCCAAGAACCCTCCTTTCAAAGGCAATAACCATAGGCTAATGGAATGTTAAAACTATACATGAGACAGGAAAATCAGCATAACTGACATCAGAAATGAGAACAAACAAGCTCACCCTGCACAGCATTTTTAACACAAGCTGGACAGTTAACATTAGTCTTGAGAGAAACACTAATATACTGAGGGCACGAGGAGGAAAATGCTCCACAAAGTCAGGGAGTCACTTTGATGATGTCACGGATGGCACAAAGGGCAATGATATTTTGGGAAGCAGATGCTCCAAGAATTATCACAGCAACCTTCAAACCCAGATGAGGAAAATATATATAAATGTAATACAGTGCTATGCACCAACCAACAATAGTAAAGAAGATAAAAAAGAAGCTTTCTACAACAGACTACCAGCTTTACCTGAATTCCAGGTAGAGAACTAAATATAATGGGAGATCTAAATGCTAAGATTGGGAAAGAAAATGGAAGATATGAGCTAATTATTGGGTGCCTCAGTTTAAGAGACTTCTGCACAGCAAATAAGTTTGTTATTGGGGGCAGCATATTCAGCATAAGAAAATCCACAAGCTAACTAGGGTGTCCCTAATAATAGAACAGAAAACCAAATTGACCACATATGCATAAGCAAAAAAATTCAGAAGGTCTCTATGAGAAAACTAAAATACAACATAGCACCTTTGGCAAACAAGCAAAAATGACAGGAATTCAGTATTACTTTGAGAAATAAGTTCCAGGTACTGAAAGAACAAACCGATGGTGACCAGATATAAATTCAATGGCAAAAAATAAAGACATCCGTAACTTATAAGTGCAACGTGGGATTAGGACGATGAAGCACAAACACAAAGATAGACTAATTAATAGAGGAATTACTGAACAGACCTTCACCCACAGACACACTAGATATAACCAGCAAATGATTTACAAATAGAAAGAATTGCCCCTAACAAGGAAGAAATAAACGAGGCTATCAAGCAGCTTAAATTGGGTAAGCATGGGATCAGATAACATCAAAACAGAGATGATGAGAGCAGGTATAGATACAATAGTCAACATGCTGCACAGTCTGCTAGAAAAGATATGGGAAGAAGAGAGAAATCTAAAAGATTTGAAAGAAGGATACCTCAATCAAGGTACCAAGAAAAGGGATCTTAGCAGCCGTGCAAAAAGATCTTGCGTAGACCAAATTGCAACACTAAGCATCATTGTGGAACACTCAGTCAAATGGAACGCTCCTCTATATCTAAATTTCATTGACTACATTAAAGCCTTTGATAGCCTGGATCAACACAGCTTGTGAAAACATCTCTAGAATTATAGGGTACCAGGAAAACTGTTCAGGATTATTCAGTTTTTATGGAGAAATTACATGCAGGGTGGCACACGAAGATAGACTCACAGGATCCTTTAAAGAGGAAATAGGAGTCAGACAAGGTGTCTTTTGTCCCCTTTCCTATATCGTCCACGCCATTGACTAGATAGTGAAAGAATCCACAGACAGAAAGAGAAATGGAATACAGTGGACACCATGGTAACAACTGAATGAGCTAGACTTTGCAGATAATATTACACTTCTGTCCCACAGCACCAACACAAAAAGACAAGAGATTTAACCAGTATTTCAGTACAGCTCCAATCCTAATCAACATAAAAAGAAGCAAGACAAAGATCATGCAGAGAAACTCCTCTAACCATAACATATCTCCTTGGCAGGAAATGCACTGGAAGAGGTCGAGGCCTTCATCTACCTGGGCAGCCTCATTGACATAAATGGCGGATAAGAAGCAGATGCTAGGGCTAAAAGTGGAAACAAAACATGTCAAAGCAGTCTGCATCCATGGTACCAAAACATGGAGAACAAAAGCGAGCATCACACAGAAAGTACAGACTTTCACAAACACTTGCTTTGATCCTGAACATAAGATGGCCAAACATCATTACCAACAAAACCTTAACAGAAAGGACATACCAAGAGCATTTTGCTGAAGGCATTAGGAAAAGATGGAGGTGGATAGGGCATACTTGTAAAACCAACCCCCCCCCCCACCACACATCATCAGAAAACCCCTAACTTGGATCACACAAGGAAAAAGGAAGAGAAGAGGCCAAAGAATACAAGGAGATGCTGGGAGCAGACAAACCAGTATGGAATACACCTGGGGGAAAGGGCAAACTGTTAAAACCACCCCCCCCCCCCCCACCACACATCATCAGAAAACCCCTAACTTGGATCACACAAGGAAAAAGGAAGAGAAGAGGCCAAAGAATACAAGGAGATGCTGGGAGCAGACACACCAGTATGGAATACACCTGGAACCAACTGGAAAGGAAAGCAAATGACAGAGATTAACTGAAAATTCTTGTAGACTGTCTACGCTCAGACAGGATAAAAGGCATACTTAAGTAAGAAACATGAATTTTAATTTAGTACATCATTAAAGTCACATTCACCAAAATTTAAATTAAACTAATGACAATGGTTGAATAATTGTAACTTAAGTGATTTCATAAATAATTTTCATTGATTTAATAAAAATGGAAACCATTATGCAAGAATCTCTACAGAGCACTTACAGCCATACACTGCCTGCTGATACAGGTCTGTTTCATGCGCCCCGGCCCGCCAAATTTTTTCATGTCTTTACAGAATGTGCACTCTCCACACTCAGTCCTTGTGCAGGCCTCACACTGCTTACACCTAGTCCTCCTTCGCCTTATGGATGATGATGATACTGCTGCTCCTGTCGACCCTTTAGCAGCCTTGGCTGTTTTAAAGGTTTTGTAGCCCAGTTTCAGTTTCTGTTGCTTTTTCTAAAACAACAAAGATGGTCAGTAATTAGGTTAACAACTGAGAGAAAACACTTTTGCAAAACAGAAACATTGATCCCTTTGACCTGAACTTCTATAGCAGCGATATCTCAAATATGTTACCATTGATTAGCAAAGATGGAAACTTAATAAAAAAAGTAATATGAAAATTTACTTTCAATCTGACTGTACATAATAATCCACTCTCATAGATCAATAAAAAGTATTTACTAATCATGTGTTTCATAAATATAATTTTTAAATCAAATTTGTTGGGAAGTGTACATCAATTGCAAATGACATATCTAATTTTTGGGAGATAAAATGTATGAAATTTAATAATTTAAAATATGTGACACACTTGATTGTTAGGCTTAGTAAGTCTCCAACCCATTCTAGCCATAAAAACAACACGTAGCCCACTGACCTATTTTTATATTATGTAATACCTTTGCTGATTCAGGCCATCCAATATATGGTTCTCCTGTTACAGCTAGCTCGGGGTCATCATTCTTGTGGTCTTCCAAAACTTGCTACAGGTCACAGGGTCAAGATTATGAAACAGTAAGCGAAGTAATTGACAATACTAGGAATAAAAAAATCAACAACAGATAATGAAAAAAAAACAAAAAATAAAAAATATGCTCCTGGGGAATAATATTTAAGTAAAATGTAATCGCTTAAGGCTGCAAAGAAAATAAATTGCATTTTGAAATGTAATTGCTTAAGCTGCAAATACAGTAAATTGAATTTTGAAATTATCTTCAAAATTATACCCTAAGACTGATCATCAATTTCTTTTCAAAACCTTTATTTAAGTTAAAGAAAGAAAACTACCTCATTTAATAAAACCCATCTTACCCTTATCTCCCTAAGCACTGCTTCAGGATCTAACATCTCTCTGGGCACCCCTCGTTTATTAGGTGGCAATGCCATTAATCCTGTGAGGTAGTCAACCAACTGATGCAAGCCTTTCAACTCTGTGGGTGTCAAGTGAATCCACTTGCGAGTGCCCCCTCCACCTTCCCACGAACTGTTGGAGTCAGAGACTGCTTTGCGGGGGACCCTGGGCTTAGCTAGAGGGGGCTGGTTTTCATCTTCACTTTGTGACCTTCTCAGGGCCTGATCTATGCGTGTCAACTCAATTGTCACACTTTTAGACAACTTTGGTGCATCCTCCCCACTCTCTGATTTTATTTGCTGCAACAAAAAACATAGCTGTGTTAAAAACATATCAAAACAATCTATTTGAAGGGTAACATTTGTTTACTACACTTGATAAAACTTTATTTTTTTTAGGAAGCCCAATTACAGATATCAGTAGTCTTAAAGATTTTCATACTAGACAATAATACCCAAATCCTCAGTAAAATAAAATAGCATGTAACTATTTAAATGCACTGCTGTGACAATGTGACTAACAGAACTATTTACATTATTTTTAACACAAGTTTTCACATGTACTACGCTTGAACAATTTACTATAAGAAATATGTGAGCGTAAAGAGCTGGTTTTTCTTCAAAACTATTAAAAAAACATACATTTTTATATAAGCGATTTTATTTCAGCATTGGGTGCTGTCTTCCATCATGGTTTTTTAAGAGTACTTTTTATCAACAAATGTTAGGGGAATAAATCAATTTATCTTAAAAAAAAAAAAAAAAAAAAAATAAAAATATTAAAAAAACATACATTTTTATATAAGCGATTTTATTTCAGCATTGGGTGCTGTCTTCCATCATGGTTTTTTAAGAGTACTTTTTATCAACAAATGTTAGGGGAATAAAACAATTTATCTTAAAAAAAAAAAAAAAAAAAACTTAGATGATTTATTGTATGAATTAAACTAGCGTAGGTGCAACTATTGTTGTGCTAAATATAGATGGATAGCAAAAGAATGCATTTTTAAACTTCATAACATTTTCAAATCATATGAAAAATGAGATAGAAGCCTGTAAAATTGTATTACTAATCTTATATGTCTTTACCATGTTGTATAAAAGTACCAAGTATATTTTTAAAAATTAAATTTAAGAATTATCTTCCCACCTTAGCATCCATACTATCATCCATTGCCCGTGATGGAGGCCTGGAGTCTGGATTTCTAGAAGGTGGTCTTGAGTCCTCATCAACCTGGATGAGTCCTTGGTCATCCTCATCAAGTTCCTCTTTTTCACATGAGGACAGGTAGGAACGACCTGTGAGGCAGCTCAGGTAGCGATCCACAACATACCACATAATCTCCGAGAAAAATGGATAGCGGAATTTCGAAGGGACCTGAACAATAAAAAAAAAAATATGCCAATGTAACTTGTAGTTAACATTTTAAAAAGATTAGAATGTGAAAAGCAAAAACTTTTCTGAAGAAAAAAAAAGAGAAATTTAATTAGTCAAAATGAGCTTTTGTGTCGAAAATATTGCATGAAAATAGCATTTTAAAGTGCAACTTAAAATAGATGTATCCACAACAAATGGCCCTAAAAGTCAGCACATGGAATATAAGAAAGTTAAAGTTCCCAACATAAAAAAAATGTCTCACTACTTACATAAGTCTTATCCTCAACACGGGATACCAAAAGTTGATTTTCAATATTGAAACTGTGCAGGAAGTTTCCTCCAAACACCAAAGAGTCTTTTGGAGTATACACAGCATGGATCCAACCTATATATATTTATATATATATATTTAATTTTTTAAAGATTGATTGGGCTTAATTCATACAATTAACAACATTAACAAAAAATTGAAACTGCCAATAAAATTTAATCTAAGTCAACTTTTGTGCTTCAAACCGCCAAACTTAAAATTCATTCATAACTTTTACCCATGGGTAATGCATCAATAAAGGCCCATAAAATATTTGAATCTAATATTTAAGTAACTTTGAGGCCCATGTGAATGTTAGGCTTGTCTGGAACCCCTTCCCTTGAGATGACCTGTAAATAACTACTAACTTATTACCCAAAACATATCCACAAACACAAAAGAGGTTTGATTACATGCAAATAGTATTAACTGTTGTAGAGAGTTGACGTTTTTAAAAAATTCAGCACCTGAGGGAATGATAAAAGTACTTCCAGCACAAAGATTAATTCTCTGGCATTGCTCCAGGGTGTCCCCAAGGAAGGTGTCACCCTGCTTAGCTGACAATGTCCACTCAGTATATCTTTCAATATTCTGCTGTGACGGTGGAGCCAACCAGAAAATCTACAAGAAAAATAATTTCAAAGTTATATAGAAGCAAGGTGACTGAGATATAAGAAAATACATGGAAAAATATATGACAAGTTTGAGAATTCATTCCATTTAGTCAATAAAATGAACTATGTAACACGAGAACTTTGTAAAATGTTCACAACTGCCTTAACAAAATTAAAATCTTCTTGTTTTTCTCATCATATCTAAATAAAGGTTTAATAAAAATCAAGACATGATCGTTGTGAACTAGATTTTTGTGAATGTTGGGTAGGGGGAGTTGTGGATCGTGAGAGTGTTTTGTGAGTTGTTCATTGTGAGATCAGTGCGTGAAGTTAGTCAGTGGTGTAGAACGTTAGTGTATGCTGAGTATTTTGTAGGGATATAAAAGGGCTGTGTGTTGGTTGGTTGTTAGTTGTGCTAGGAGAGAGACACGTTAGTCCAGAGCTGAGCCGGGAGTTGATAATTAGTTGAGCTGGTGTGAGAGTCCAGCCGAGAGAGTAGTTAGGGAGTTAGTATTATCGCCATTGAACGTTGCCACTGTGAATTGATATTGGATCCTGTAAATAAAGAACTGTTGTATTTCCATGCTGGAGTTGTGATATATATATATATATATATATAGATATTAAGAAAGTGTTGTAAACCCCAAGACAACTACTGCGGGATGTGTTGAAGTGTAAGGACGAAGATCCTAACATGTCAAGTATCAAGAACGTCGTAAATGGAGACAACGTAAGAAGGCCGCGCCATTTGATGAAGGTCTTAACTTATTAAATAAAGGTCGTAACAATGATCTTTCTCTGATGTGAAAGAAAAGCTAATTGCTACTATCAAAATACTTGAAAAGTTTGAACAAATGAAAAAGAAACTGAACTTGTAAATTTAAATTCATCAATAAAGAGGTTAGACATAATCTCAACAACATGCAGTCCTTTTTTAAAATTCCAGCTAGTGATAGATCAAGATATGTATTACCCCAATCCCATTTAAACAGACTAGGCTGTCATTTAAGATATGTTTTTAAATTTAAGCTTTAACAGCATATATTCAATTTTTAATATCTTAGCTGCCGATCTTCAAATTTCTTAACAGCCAATTCAATTATTCTGAAATTGTGTTTCATTTTCATAAACATCTTATGATCATAAGTTCTACTAAAGCTTTGATTGAACTTAGATTGGCTTCGTTTGGCTTACCTTTTAATTCAAATTCGCTAGGTTATTCAATGTAGATTTCCGAATGGGGAAACCCCCCCCAATTAAAGGCCAAAACATTCATTTTCCTAATGACATACCTTTTCTCCATGGAGGATGTGGTACCAGACAGAAGTCCCTCCAAAGTCTATGTGGAAGTCTGTATAACAGCCAGCTACGCTCATCAAACAATACCTAGAAAAGCATTTTAAAAAATTTAACCATTCATTTTGCACTGAAAATATATGGTTGTCAATTTTTTGTTAAAATGGTCTTACTGTCTTTATGTGTTCATTAATAAAGAGATACAGCACAGATCTGGATGATAATTATATTATTATAATAAAATAAATAATCAAAATAAATAATAAGAGTCTTGCTCTTAAACACACAGAAAGACACTTACCAAAACAATAAAAACATCTCTCTAAGTATGTGCAATTTATGCAAATAGATCATTTCAGGACACTTTATAAGAAAAAAGTATATTTATGATCCTATCATCATACACAAAACTCACTTCTGAACTTTTGGGTACTTCATTTTCTCAATAACATTTGTTGATTCTGTCTGGCACTCTTTCAGATGTCTGGGCCAAGCCCTGTCCACCCAGTCTACTTGACGGACCTAAAATAATTTTTTTTTTTGAAAAAAAAAACAACTTGTGGTAACAACTATGCTACAGTAAATTTATAAAAGCATTTTGTTATTTTATTTTGCATTCTACCTAAACCAAGAATAGGCATAGTGCATCGTATTGTTCAGTGTTTGAATTAAATACAAGTATTAAACAATTGAAACTACAAAAAAAAAATTGCTTTCCTGAATATATTGCTTTCTATAATACTAATTTCACTAAAAAAAACTCTTATAAATTAAACTTTCATGTATTGCAGTCATTTATTACAATGTCCTTAAAACAAATTTAAATCTGTTAACGCTACCAGAGTTGGGGACTCCACATAGTTTTCAAGTCGAGTGTGGCAAAATTCTAAACTGATGACATTAAGAAGACGATCACGTTCTGGATTTTCATAATATTTAACCCAATCTTTCATTGACATTTCCATTGCCTTCTGTGTAGTGACATCCATGACATCCAAGATACGCCGACTTCCTATTGATTAGATGCAATAAAATACAATTAGGCAATAGTTTCAACAAGTTTATGGAAAGAAGCATTTACCATTACAAAAAAAAATTTATAAACACAATTATGGTTATCGTGCTATTCCCAAAATAGTACAATCTTATTTCAGAATAGTACTTAACCAATAAAAAATTGTACAATATCTTATTGTAAAAGTAAATAAACATACAGTAAAATGTATACAACTATTTCTATAGCATGTCCTAAAAAGGTCTCTTTCTTCCACTTCCCCTCTCAGGGCAAACGTAATATATTTATGGATGGTCCCCAACATATCATGTTTCTCTGTCCATTCGTCGCCGGATGTAGAAAGGAGCTAAAAACCACCCCATTTGTATATTATTATTTTAATTTTAAAACTATCGGAACATATTTTTCCAAACTGGTCTCTTAAAATCGCAGTTCAGACAGTTCTCAGCATCGTATCGGCATCCTTCCGTCTCGTGAGACGATGGTGCATCACCGTTGGGTTGGGTTGCATTTTCTCGAGTGGCTGTGCAGTCCTATCCTTGAGTGACAGTCTTTACCACAGTTTTTACACACGAGTTCTGTGCTTCCCAATGTTTTGGCCTTTCTCCTAGCTCTTCTGTCTGCAGCCTCTTCCATTCTTCACTCCTCGGCTACCATGACGCCCTCTTTGACAACTGTGCGCCACGTAGATCGGTCTTTTGCCTTACACTCCCAGTCACTTGTATGTATTTTGGCTGCTTTCATGTCCCTTTGACAGACATCTTTAAATCGCAGACGTGGTCGACCTGTTTTCCTCTTTCCAGCAGCAAGTTCACCATATAGGAGGTCTTTCGGAATGCGGCCGGGACTCATTCTTTTAACATGACCTAGCCATCTCAGGCGTCTTTCACTAAGGATTGTGAACATGCTTTGGGTATTCGCACGCATTAGGACCTCACTATTAGTCACTTTTTCTTGCCATTTAATACCAAGGATGCGACGCAGGCATCTCATATGGAAGCTATTAAGCTTGCGCTCTTGGGATGTATAGGTGGTCCATGTCTCGCTCCCGTATAGTAGTGTACTGATGACACAAGCTCGATAGACGCACAGTTTGGTTTTCTCCGTTAGCTTGGTGTTTTGCCAGACCCGTTTATTTAGTTTAGCCATTGTGGCAGCTGCCTTGCCGATTCTGCTGTTAATTTCTTCTTCAATGGACAGTGTATTGGAGACCTTGGACCCCAAGTAGGTGAAGCTGTCCACAACCTCCAAGTTTTCATTTTCGATTTTTATGTTAGGTGGAGGTCGAGTATCTTGGGCCATGATGTTTGTCTTTTTCAAGCTGATTTGCAGACCAAATTCTTTGCAGGCATTAGAGAAGCTTGACACGAGTTGTTGCAAACCAATTTCTGTGTGTGCTGTTAGTGCCGCATCATCCGCAAATAGTAGCTCGCGAATTAAGACATCTGTCGTTTTGGTCTTTGCTCGGAGGCGGGCAGTGTTGAAAAGTCCTCCATCAGCTCTGGTGTGTAACCAGATTCCCTCACTTATATCCTTCAGCATACAATCATAAAAGACAACTTAAAATCAAATAATAGAATGCCAAAATTGTAAGAGTAACCAGATATGGGTTTCCATCAAAAGCTATCAAAGTATCAATAATTAATGCTATTTTGTAAAATTTGAACAGTACATACCAACACACTGTTTCACATCACTAACTTTAAAGTTTTCACTTGGTACTCTGAAAAATTTAATTAATGCTATAAGATTCATACAATACTGTTGCCTTTAGGGAGGTGAATTTACTACAAATAGTGTCATAAAACAGTTCACTTTTTTTACAAGCATGTAAGGTTACAACAAAAAAATTGCGTTCTTGAAAGCATATAAAGATATATGATTCATATTAACTATAAAGGTGTGCCTTTATTATATAAACATCACGTCAAAATTATAAACAATAGTTTTATATTTACAAATTTTAAAAACTTTGTTACCTCAAACCCAAGCCAGTTTTGTCATAAAACACGATTGGTCGAGTCAGACCATTTCTCTGCATCCATTCCATTGTGAATTCTGAACATGAATAATTAAGGAGTTTAAAAGTATGAAATTTTAAAAATAATTTTATGAGAAATATTATTTTAATTTTTTAAAGAGATTATAGAGTTGAAAGACAGGGGAAATATATAAAGGGGAACTTATTTTTTTAATTTTATAGCAAAAAAAGAAAAATAATTAACAAAACTTAAAAGCTTTTGTCAAATTCACCTGGTCCTTTCAATTCCTGTACCATGTCTGCATTGAACTTTTCACTGACCAATTTTTCCTCCACACTATACATTCGCCGTCCATCAATGTCATCTTCATCTATTTCTTGGTCAATATATTTCTTGCGTTCCTTGGCCCGCTTAAATATTAATAAAATTATAATTATTAAAAAATATCCTTAAGAGGGGTTGCATCACGTTCAAATTTGAATGTACTTGAAAATCTGGTCACTGGAAAATACACCAACCTACTAAAATGCATAGACATTATTAAATACTTTAATTTTAATGTTAATCTATTTCTGTCAGACAGGATAACTTTTAATGGTAAGGTCTATGATGAATTATTTGATAAATGATATAAATTTTCTTTTAACTTCTGATATGGGCTAAAATAAATATTTATATTAACGTATTAACGATATATAGCCTAATTATTTTAGTTTTTAAAATGAAAGTAAAATGTATAAGGCATATAAGGCAAGGCATATTAATATTATATCATATATATATATATATATATATATATATATATATATATATATATATATATATAAATATAAGTGATATTGTTGCACATACACCAAAAAAACTCTACCCTATAACTAGAGCTTACTATATATATAAAAAAAGATATATATATAATATAAAATATATATATATATATATATATATATATATATATATATATATATATATATAAGTATAAGTGATATTGTTGCACATCCACCAAGAAAACTCTACCCTAGAACTAGAGCTTACTATAGCCTAAAACTAGAGATGGAGAGTGCCTAGATATTTCTACAAGTAAGAGTTTTAACAGTATCTCAGTCAGTAGCTAGAAATACTTGAGATAGTATAGACTTATGTGACCATGATCGAAATGATACAGCCAGACAATATAAAATGAGTAAAACAGATTAGGGTTAAGTTAAGGTTAAGCCCTATTCCTATTCTTTTTTACTCATTTTATATTGTACTAACCTGATGTCAGTCCCCTTAATACAGTCACACAGAATCATTTGGATCATAAGTATATCTAGATTTAGAATCTAGGCATTTAATCATACTTTTTTTAAATTTTAGGTTCTTCAAAGAAAATAGCATCATACTATAATTTAAAGTTGGCCTAATTGTTTTACATTTTTATATCAATTTTTCAATTGATAATTGGGTCAATTGAATTAGGACGGAGGAGTGTGTGTGTCAGTGTGTGTGCCCTGCACCCAAGATTGTAAATAGCAAGAACCAAGTGTCTCAAAGAGTATAAATTTCCATTATAGCAGAGGAATGCGTTTTGGCTGGTGGAGCCAATCACGGCCAATGACGCCAATGTGAATGAGAATGTGACAGAAGTCACGTCCTAACTTTTTCTTCCAGGGGTAATGATAGTACTGAATGATAGTCACAAAAGAAAAAAAATGAACAAGCTAAAGTTCGGCATGCTCAGACAAAGTTAATGTAACAAACTGCGACAATTAAAATTGAACATTACCAATTTCCTGCCACTTTCCGAGTCCTCAGCCATTATGCAACAAAATCATGAAAATAAAGCTTGAAAAAAATAGAAAACAAAAGTCACTAGCTGCAAACAATGAATTTTCTCCCATGAACACACTAATCAGTGACGTCATTAAAAAATGGCAATGGGGTCAGAGCGCAAACCAGGGGCAGTGTACATGCGCAGAGACAGATTAGCTTAACGTGCTACAACTTTAATTTTGTAATTTAAAAACGTAGTCTTTGTAAATATAAAGAACAAAAAGCCCTTTCTACAAAATTTAATGATTAGTGAAAAAAAATATAATTTTCTGTTATTAATAACTTAAAATCTATTAAAAATGTAAAGAAGATAATAATCTCTGTGCAACTGCGAAAATTGCTTACATAAGTGTTATTATCTATCCAGAATTTTTTTTTTTTTTTCAGGTAGGGGGTGAACAGGTATTCTAATGAAGGAGATTGTTTGCATGTCTCCTACAGCGTCTAATGTCACCGCCAAAAATCCATGAACTCAACATTCCAGAAAATTGCAGGCAAAATCTGGCTACCTACAGGCGGAAGCGGAAGCTTTCGTTGTAGTTTTGTTTTCGTTAGTGACTTGATGCACGATCTTTTTCAATATAATAAAAGTCTATTCTTTTGTTTCATAGGAATCATTTCATGCTCACCATGTCCACCGTTAAATATTCCTAACTATTTTAATTAAAAGGGTTGGTCAGTACCAGATGCAAAATAATAGGTCTGAAACTTATCAGGAGTGGTTACTCAAATCCTACATCGATCAAATGTCTCAAACGCACTCAAACACTGCTCTCTCTTGGAGGCGGCTGTATTTGAGCAGAGCAAAACTCAAAGCTAGTAGCAGGACATCAGCACTATTATCTGGCTTTGCTATGGTATGTGTAGCCTTTTTGGTGAAAATTGTGTCGTTTTCCCACAAGTTAAGTTGTAAATTATATAATAATACTCTAGCCTGGTAAATCTTAGCATTGGTTTGGTGCACCACTCATTTCCCGCCCACACCACTCATTTCCCACAGCTGCCCTCTAAATACACATTTGCTAACATGGAGAGGGGAAGAGAAGGGAAGATTAGCTGTTTTAGCTACTTACAGAGAGAAACAGAAATGAGAAGAAAAAGATTAAATTTAATTAAGTTAATAATTTCAGCCGATACATTAATTTCATGGCGAAGTAGCAACTTTATTGCATCCCTCTAGATATGTGGCAATAAGTGTCAATGACCAGCTGTCACTCCCTTCCCTCAACTAAAACATGTTTGCTACTTATACGCTGACTGTGGTAAGAAAAGGGTAACAAATGAATAAAAACAATTCAAAATATTTTTAGAGTAATGAAAACCCAACTTACAGTTCTATAGTACACTTTTACATATTTTATTGCAGGTTCCACCAAAAATAAAATCCAAAAGTTGTCAGAAATCAATACAATACCCATTTTCCAAAATGTCAGAAAATTTAAATATACTTAAACCACCCAATGAAATTATAAGTTAAAACATTCCATCGACAAATTAATATTTAATATTAATAGTAACAATCCATAACTAAACAAAAGGGAGAGAATCCTACACTGAAACTCAAAGTGGCATGCCAAAGTAACATTAGCCCATAGCTCTAACATCTATAAATTAAATTTAATGATTATTGAGATACATGAGAATCATAGACTTTATGTTTCACATTCATGGTCTATATAGCCTATATATAAGATTTAAATGCTCATTTTGACATAAGTTAATTGGGGACCATCCATTAATTATGTCAACAATTTTAGGCAATGTTTGACCACCTCCCCCTGCCCTTTTCAACAACTATCAAAGTTTCAAGGACCTCTAATTAATTATTTCAAAAATTAATAATCTACCACTTCAGCGTCGGCTATTCAAAAATTGTGTTTTTACCATTTTACGTGCTGTGTTACAGGTTATTCTTTAATTGATATGACAAAAGTCTTTTATTAATAAAAAAAATTGGAAATGTTTTTATCACATTGTTACATGCTCATTTCAGCACATGGATAAATATTCTTACCAAGACAACATTTTTAAACTTAAACAATTTAAAGTATGAAAAGAATAAAACATGTGTAAGCAAACAGAGTTTGAGTTTATCATAATTTTATTCCCCCAGAGTTCCAATAAAGGGAAATAATAAGTAATCAGAGTGCGACTGGTGCCAAACTGTCTTTTCAGATTGCGCGTTGCGCACATGGTTGCGCACATCCACATATTTTCTACTTTCTGTGTGGGGACACCAATGACTGTGACATTTGAATCAAGGAATTTTTTATGAAGGACTACAACAGAGTGTTCATAAGTTCTGTGTCTGATCTGATTGATGATTGTATAAGCTGCTCATCCATCCAAGACACTGTGAACCTGGTAGAAAATATCTCTATATTGGATCCTTTAAAGTGATTGTCCACCTTTTATGGCACTTCAATAAGAAAGCATCACTCACCCTCTCTTTTAATATCAGTGAAAACCCAGTAGCCCTCTCTCCACCATCCACAGTAGTATTTCATGTAATGAAGCACTTCAGACCCAAAATACAGGATTTTTGAATAGCCGACGCTGAAGTGATGGATTAGGCCCTACCCAACAATTTTTTAACCACCTTTCCAACCCCCCACCCCTTTTTTTTGTCAAAGAAAATATTTTTAAATAAAAATTGTCTATAGACCTAAAAGAATAGGGATCTTTTTATTTCTTAAGACATTATACAGAAATCACTGGGAACAAGAAAATTATTTTAAAATTGTAAAATTCTTTAACAAATTTTTAATTTATAACAATTAGAATCTATAACTTAGTAACTATAGTCAATTTTATATTACTACAGAATTTATTAAAGAATTAATAAGATCTAAAACATTGTTGTTACTAAATGTAGTGCTACATTTAAAGTTATATTTTCTGACCGAAATAGATTAACATTATAGTCTATGCATTTTAGTTAGTCATGTATTTTTCAGTGACCAGATTTTCAACTACATTCCAATTTTAACACGATACAGCCCCTTTTAAGGATATTTTTCTTTTTCACATTAATAAAATTGTTCCACTTTTGCAAAATCAAATAGTAATAGTAACTGATTAATTTATCATTGCCATATTAATATTCTTATGGAGCTGGATGATATCGTCCTTGTCTAGTCTAATACTAGACGAATAATTTGCTATTACAAAGACGTTGGCTGTAGACTCAAATTTGCATATTCTTTAAATTTCTCAGCCGCTCCTGAAACTTTAAAATATAATTTAACTTAAGAACCAAACAATGGCTAGTAGCGTTTCCAGTTAAAGTTAGTGAATATTTCTTTGTTTATGTTGTAAACACACATATTTGTTTAATATAAAGTTGACATATATGTTTAATATCAATTTGTAATTTGACGTTGTCCTTAACCTATGGTGACCTTGTTCAGACTTAACTTCATTCAATACTCATAATTTAATATTAAGTATACTTCCTTTTTAAAAAGTTTAAATTGCTTTTTATTGGTTGGACTGCAATAAAGCTTTTAATTATATCAATAATAATAAAATATTTTGTTTATAAAGATCAATATTTTGATCTTACCCTACTAAAACTACAAAAATTACTATTTTTTTATGCTTTTGACCCCTTTTTTTTTTAAAAATGTAAAACCCACAGTATCAATAGGCTTGATCAACTTACCCCATAGAGCAATGTACCGTAATTAAAATCAAATTTCTGTAATAATAGTAATATTATTTTTTTCTAATTCCTAGGTGGCCATGGTTGAAATATCTATTGGGGACAATGGAAAGACTGCCATCCCTGAATCACTTCTAATAGTGTTTGGCTCTATCACAACACTTTTGGTTGTTGTTCACCTGATGGCACTGATGATTAGTACATGCATTCTGCCCAACATAGAAGCAGTCAGCAATGTCCACAGTGTTCAGGCTGTCAATGAATCTCCTCATGATGAGATGCGAGTGTGTGTTGAGATGGCTTGGGTCTGCTCGACAGGATTAGGCATTCTGCTCTTTCTTGCAGAGATAGCCATTCTTTGTTGGGTGAAGTTCTATACTCTGAGCCAAAATACTGCAATTGCATCCACAGTGATTGTCATGCCGGCAGGCATCTTGTTCATTGCATTTTCGCTTATGTTCTACAAAAAGCTAATGGCTCACAAATATCAAAGGCACTCTGAGGGTTTGAAAGAACTGGATGAGATGGCTAGAGAATTACAGACCACTGGAGATGGGGTCAATATAATTTAACTTCTAGAATCAGCACCAATAATTTATTATTGCATGTTTTACTTTCGAAGCTTTATTTTTTTTAAAGGTTCGATTATGATTTCTGGGGTATTAAATTGTAATCTTAATATTAGCTCAATCAATTAAATTGATTATTATGACATTATAGTCCTTATACTGTTCATCTTGCATACCATTTATGCGATTTCATATTTTTCTTCATATTTCAGTAACATAATTTTGTTTATCTTATAATACTTTTTGCATCATCACTCTATAACTTTTCCTCCCTCCTTTTGAGGTAAGATGTTAAGTCTATCTTATTGTCAAAGAGTGGCATTTTCATTCACGCAATTATATAATATTACTGTTATGGTGTTTCATACACTGACAGATCTATGCTGTTTATTACAGAATATTTTTTCCTATTTACATATTTGGGCTGGTTCCTAATTTGAAAAGAATATTATTCATATTAATGTTTGCCTTGCATTTGCTTATCTATACTATATTTGTAATTTATAACCATAGATACAAAATTAATTAAAACTATTATACATATTTTAAATTACTAAAGAAGGGGATTTTTAAATGAAAGTTTGGTACAAATATTTCAAAATGTATTTATAAATTATATTGTATTTTTTTTTTTATTTCAGAAAAGTCACTTGAATTTACTGTTTAAGAAAGCATTATTATTTTATTTTAAAATATTTCATGTTGAATTTTTAATTTGAGTAAAAAATAATTGGTAAACTCCATAACTACAAGTTACAAGCATTTGCTGTTTAAAGAATTCATTGAATGAACTGGGTGTTACTCTAGTACAGCAACACTGTTAAAGTTAAAGCAAAGATAATATTTTATGTAGCCACTTTCATCCTCATATTCTGGTTTGTGATTCCCAGAACTACATGAAAATAGTGCACTTTTACCCAAAAATGTCATTGAAGGCAGGCATCTCAAAATATTAATAGTATGGCAGATTTTTATCTTTGAGCTTAATAATAATTCAGATGTTGCCAATTAAATGATGGAATGAGATTTTTAAATACCAGGTATTCAATGAGTGGCTTATTTGTTCTTACAACTACTTAGGTATCAAAGCATGACATTAGCTAAAAGGTTTAGTTGGAAATTAGGTTGTAATAATTTTAAAAAGCAAAGTAACTTTAAGTTTTAGGGGATATTAATGTAACATTTCCATGTTAATTTTGAGTGTCATCATTAGCTTATTTTTAAAAAATTGGGTATGAAAGTGTTGGAAAAAAATAACATTGGCTCCCATTTTGAATGGAATAAATACATTTAATTCCAAGGCAATCTGTATACTGTATAGAAAATGCAATTCATTTCAATATGATTGAACTTATTTTCCAGTGTGAAAGTTTGCAAATATTTTGCATTACATGTTAACTAACATAACCAAAAAAGTTCAACATCATTTTGTATATATATCAATTAAAAAGAGCAGCAAAATCAGTTTAACTCTTATAATTTATAAGTAAATATTTGGAACATCATCTTATAAAACCACTGTAAATTTATTTTGACTTTCATTTATTTTTAATCAATCTGTAGTGTAAATATTTAGACATGGCTTTTAACCTGCACTCTTTTGTATTTATGGGCATCTTCTTAAACATCACAGGAAGTTTCTTTCCATGACACCTGATTGATATGTCATTATTGTCATGAGTACGTCATTTTTTTATAATGTTAACCAATGTCAATCACTTTTTATTTCATTGTTTTATTTCTGTCAATTTTTGTTTTAGTAGAACTTGAACATTTGAATGATTATTACAGAAAAATTAATTTGTCTTATCCAAGAGAACTTGTTATAGGTTCAAAAGCTTGGCTACTTTTTATTCTCGAGGCTGCATTTGTTAACATTTTTTGAAGCATGTGTTGTTTGTTTTTTTTCACTGCTCCACGTAATAGATCTAATATCACAGATGTGGTTGAAATAATATTTTTTATACTGCTAGTCATCTCAACTGCCGCATCAGTTTCATTGAAAAAAAGTCAATCAAATTGTATGTAATACTGATAGTAATTGATTAGATTAATTTGCTTAAAAGCCAGGTTAGTGTTATTGATCATTAAAAGCAAATAGGGTCCACAGCTATTTTTTTAAAATGTGCGTGATGTTTAATTACTGTCGACATTCTGTGCCCATTTATAGTGCAGAAAATAACAATCTATAATTTTATAATGAAAAGTGGGGTTCCCAGATTCTTTAAATTGAAGAGCAATAGCCATGGTGCATTCACATTGTTACTGCAGTCACATAATCATAATTATTAAAGAACTGATTTGGCAATCATTCTGTTCATGTTTAAAAGCATGGACACTAAAAAAGCCCATTACATCTAAGTAAGTGACATTTAGATCAGATGAAACTGGCCATCAGTATATTCTAAAACTTTGATCTACACTCTCAAATTAATACTCATATTTTTTTGAGGATAAAAGGTTAAAAGATACAATATTAAAATATTACCCCTAATTATCACAGTTGGTGAGCATTAATGTAATATAAATATTTTATATCAAAATTATTTTTAAAAATTTATGGATAACGGGCCACTTACCAGCACACCACTTCTGGAATATTTGTATTGCATTTTTTAAATATCATTGAACAACCCCCCCTCTCCCTTCCCACCCCCAATTTTGTTGAAGCTCATTCAGCTTTTTGTGCTGTTTTTGAACAATACTGCATTTAAGAAAAAAATTATCAGAAAAGGAGTCTTCACAATCCATGCCATTTGCCTTGAAATCCAAAACTTTTTACTCAGTATGGTATATATATTTGCCTTGCAAGCATTTGTGTTACTTTTTGTTCTAAATTTTATTTGTATTTATTCATTTTATTCTGCCACAAAACAAGGCTTCATCTTTTATACAGATCTGTAATGTAACATCAACTCCAAATGGAAGCTGATGTTGTCACATGTTCAGAATTTATGATGCTGTTTTAATGTATCTATTTAACTATAACTATTTTGTGATCCTAATTCTTTTATTGTACATAGTGTTTTCAAAATTGAATAAATTGTGTTTGTTTAAAACCGTATGCTATGTAACAAACTAAAAATCAGTCTTTGCTTGTTCTATCAATACCGTCAAGTCTTAAAGATTATTTAGGAAATATAATTTTAAAGTATTGAAGTTCTACATATTTTCTTGATACTATGAGAGTCTCTTAAACTGTTTATTGAAACAACCAGCCAGTTTTGGTGGGGCTTTTAAAAAAAAAAATTTTTTATTCTAAACATTCCTTTGTTATAAATTCTAATCACATAAAACCATTACAAAATAAATTGTTGTAAGACATGGCCAGTTATAAAAATGAAATTGGTTTAATTTATGTATCCATTGGTGATCCTCCAACTAAGTCATTATTATTTTCCCTCGAGTGTTAAACCACATATACCGGTAAGAGTTCATAAATTTGGCTGAGTAAGCTAAGGCTTACGCCACTTACTAGTCCAAAAGTGAATGGGTTAAGTTAAAGTATATTTTGTTTACATCAACAGGTCAATCATCCAGAGGATTAAAAGATATTTGTTTGCATCACAGAAATTATTTCTGTTTTTTGTTGTTCAATGTTCAAGAGGAAGTGCTGTACACAAATTCAGTTAGGACAGGTGCATCTGTATCTTCATGAGTTTGTTCAGCAGCTCTTTATCATGTCATAACACTTAAATATACTCACAGGCTCTTCTTACTCACACGCATGTCCACACTTATGCCCAGGGCTGGCTCAAAGTACCGGCAACTCTGGCAGTTGCCCGGTGCGTCATGTACATAGGGCGCCATCAACGATCATCAAAAATAGGAAACATAGTTGCATGTGAGCATCATGGACGAAAAATAGAAAGTGCAACAAAAATATTTGTTGATCTAAAGGCTAGAAAAATATGTAATCAGCAGGCTAATTGTTCATACTGCCCACAGTAGGCTAATTGTTCTTACCGGTACTCTCCAAATACAAGTTAAGAAAAACAATTTTTTTGTTCATTGTTTGTTTAAAAAAATAATAACCTAGGTAATAAACTCATTACTTAATCCAAAGTTTTTTCCTTGCATAAATTTTTATGATTATACTTAAAAGGGGCGCCAAAATTAAGCATGCCCGGGGTCGCCAGCAACCGTGGGGCCAGCCCTGCTTATATCATTGTATTAAACAAACATCTCTGTTACAATGCAGTCCTGCATCGTTTAAAAATATTCCCTCATCAATTTTTCTATCAGCAGCATATTGGTACATCATTTCAAACGCCATGAGAACAACCTTAGTTATGATATTATAAACCAGTTGTAACCTTTCTAAAATCAAGCCAAAGAACTGTTCCCTTTCTTACCAGACACTAATTTGTGTACATGTACTGATGTAACTGTTTTTATGATTACCTAGTTTGTTTGTTTTTTGTTAAAGTTAATGGGGTATGTGGTTCTCTAGATTAGGGATGTGCTTAGTGACAGCGCTGCTGCTCCCTCCCTCTCACATGATACCCACCCACCCCCACACACTCAAGATACCCCAACAAAAATATCAAAATGGTTTTATAAAAATTAGAAAATTAAAATTTATACCAAATTAGTTTTTCGCTGTTGCTGCAGTAAAAAAAAAATGTTTTTAATAAATTAATTTGTGTTCAATTCCACTTCCGGAGTCTTACAGAACAACAAGATTGTTCTAAATTAAATATAGAATATATCATTGACATTTCCATACATTATTCTGAATTATTCTTTTATAATGAAGGTTACTTAAGGTTGGAAACTGGTGAATTTTCTTTGAAAAAAGTACATTTCATTAGAAAATGATTAATATATAAATAATTATCACACTGTTACTCTCTGTCTGGAGGAAAAAAACATTTTTATTTGATGTTATAATCAGTTGAAAGTGTTAATGAGAACCATTAAAGGCCATATCAACCACAGTAACAGTTGGGTTTTTTTTGTTGGTTTTTTTACATTTGTGTTTGCTGTTTTCTACCATTATTTTCAGCACTGACAAAACATTTAAAGATTAATCATGTTTTCAGATTGACTTTAGATTTTACATACACGAGTGTATAAGCCGGAAAAAAGGGTTGGGGGTCGTCTCACTGCAGTTATTCCGTACACAAAAGCCATTTCTATAACTAAATAATCCAAAACAGTAGCCGTCCATCAAGAAAGTCACGCTATTTTGTACAATTTTTAACCCCCACCCTAAAGTTCGTCTCACTTTCGAACTGAAATTGTTTTTAAAATTTAATCTAAAACAATCTTTAGTGTAGGCTATTTGTAATATGACATTTTCTGTCAGAATACATCCACCTCAACAGAAAGTTAAACACGGCCAATTTCAGGTTTCATCTGCATGATTTTTTGTGTGACGTCACATATGATCTTTTACCCCCCCCCCTCTTTCCCCTCCCACCCCAAGTCACAAACTGTCACATTTTCTTAGACATCCCCGCCCCTTTTCCAGAGCGTGATGCACTATATGGACGGCCCCATCCATATCTAAATTTCTTGTTTCCTTGCTCTCAAAACTCTTAGCTACGGTGGCCAGAGTTTACTGGGGGATAACGTGGTTCCCTTGAGGCTGGGGGGGGGGGGTAGAGGAGAGAGGAGTTGCCTGCCCCCATCCCAGTAGCCAGAAACGTTTCATGAAAAATTGACTGAAAGACAATATTTTTCTGAAGAGCAAAGAACAAATTCATTAATGTACATTATATAACATATTGTATGTTAGGGTACATTATATCTAGCAGACTGTATGTTAGGGTTGATTATATAGCATACTGTATTATGCTATAAACCTACCGAAACCTTACGTTGTGTTGATCAGGAATCGCGCGGGAAATATTGATGAACAATAAAGGAGAAATGTACCAGAATTAATTTATTAATACTGTCTGAGATTGAGCATGTCATGTTTTCAATTTTCATTAATGGATAAAACAGCTTGTTGGTGAGAGAGTAACTACTAAAAAGGGTGCTTGGTGGCCGAGTGGATTAAACTGAGTCAATCCGAAGCGTGTGGATTGGAGCTCAACGCCCAGCACTGGATGGCAACTTCATCTAAGTCTAAGAAAAAGCAAATTCTGAACTTTAACCCTAGGGGGTGCGGACTGCACCTGGTGACACCATTCCAAGGGGTGACACCAAATTGAAAAAATGCATATTTACAGTGCACACACTGCTCGGTCTAACTGAATTTCATAAAAGGATAACCGATAACACGTAAATTTTCAAATTTTCCACACGTGTATCCAATCCAAAGGGGTGCCTTATTAAAAGTTCAGTGTCGATGCGTCAGCAACACCCTTTTGACCATTATTCAAAGCCGATTGAAGTGTCTCGGTAACTTTCCTAAATGATAGGAAACTATTTTATCTAAATTCTGAGAAACAAAGCTTTCCATTGATACCAAATGCGACATTATCGGACGATTCTAAGTAAATGAATCGTATCGGTAAAAATTAAAAACATTAATAATGAATTTTTACCCATTTATAGGGTCAACAAAATAATATTTTACAAAATTTTCTAATAACTTTTAATAATAATTTATTTACATTTAAAAAAAAAAAATGTTTTTGAAACCAAATATATCGAAACCACAAATACAGATACATTGATATTTTCGCAGATTCGTCATTAGTACCGCCGCTTAACCTTAGAGCACGATTGTCTTTTACATGTTGTCTGTGATTCCGCATATATCTGCTAACTTTGCCTGTGTGATGATCTACTTGAGGAAGTTAATCTTACACAGCAGTGTCTGTAGACTAAAGCCTTTACTCTTGACAAAGTGGTGACCAACCTAGATACCTTAAGACAGATTTTTTTCTGCACGAGAAGCGCTGTCATTTTGAGGAACGTGCTATTGAAAGTTCCTTTAAAATCAGACCAATTGGAAATTTGGGAGATGCTGGATTGCATTGCTCGCTTTCATTCTGAACTCCATATCAGATCACTAGTGATCAAGGAAGTAGCAGATATGCTTTGGGCTGTTCAACCCAAGAGCCACTTCAACAAATTCCATAATTATAATCCTTTTCTTTTAAGTTAATCAACGGGCCGGGGGGGGGGGGACATTCCATAACTATCGATTTAGAAATGCCTGAGATAGGGGGCCCTACAAATATCAGACGGATAAATAATAGTTAAAATTGGTCCCATTAAAATTTACTAAAAAATGCCATGGGGGGGGGGGGGGGGGACATTCCATAACTATCGATTTAGAAATGCCTGAGATAGGGGGCCCTACAAATATCAGACGGATAAATAATAGTTAAAATTGGTCCCATTAAAATTTACTTAAAAATGCCATAGATATAGTGTTTTTTTAATCATCAAACTGACTGGAAAATTAAAGAATGGATATTATTAGTTATAAATCCACCGATATTTCAATACGGACAATAAAGCGTATTTGTTTTTTTGTTTTTTTAAAAATCCTACTCCCCCTTCCCTTCCCACTTAAACTTAAACTTGTTTTTTTTTTCTTTTCCCAAGGGAGATAAGTTTATACTTCCGTTTCTTAGCGAGAAAGAACGAGAGTTCGCGTCATCGTGAAAATATAGAAACGAAATAAAGTACCGGTCTTTATTCTGCTACAATATGGGTGCATTTGATTTTCTCGATGAGATCCGCCGCATGAATGCGAGACAGGTACAGATTTTGTTAAACTGTAGTGCCTATCATGTTTATGCGTTGCATGTTGTACGTGCGAGTTTAGATTACACCGACCACCAGTGCAAGACCAGTCGCTAGTTTACTAGTTACTATAATACTAGGACTAGTATTATTATGTATAATGGATACAGTATACTGTATACTAATACTAGACCTAATACTAATTTTAATTAGTAATTACTAGCAAGTTAGTAAGAGTAAGTGAATAGCTAATTGGAAAGTCCGAGATTTGATTACTCACTTCTCTAGTCAGGGAAGAGAATTTAGAAGATTAAATGAAATTTTTAAAAAGTAAGGAAATTAGAATTTATTTATTAGAAAGATTAGCCAGTTAGTTAGTTCATTCAATCATTGGGCTAAGTTCTAGGTCTAAGGCATTGTTTGGTAAATTTTGAGTTAACGGTATGGGTTTTGCCAAGATTTTTCTCACCCTAAGCGCAGTTGGGAAATCCCAACACGGGACTTAGGGCTTAGGGTGAATAGATCTAAATCTATTCTTTGAAGGACCCGAACTATGTGTTACGTCCGGCGCGCCGGACATATATCTCCCACACTATTTGTCCGGCGACCAAGTCACATGACTGCCATAACAAAGTGGCAAGAGATATCTTGTCGGTCAGCCTTGTCACGTGACTGCGAATGATTCAAAACTATTGTTAATTTTAAAATCTATTTCTCTACCAAGTAATGTACTGAGTATCTTGAATGCAAATAATAGAAAAAAACTTAAGTGAAAGTGGCTTGTAAAAATTTTTGTTTAGTTTGTTATTTGAGTTTGTGCACCAGTAATACATAAAATAAATTAGAGGCCAGTGTGGAGTAGGCAACCAATAAAAGTAAAGCATTTCATTTTAAATTGTTACAAAATATTTAAACACTTCTCATGAAACTACTGTTGCTGATGAACATGATAATATAAATATAGTATAAAATATGTTACATTAAAATGGGAGTAAAAAAAACGATCCTATCCCCGGTATTGATCCTCACATCATAATATCGTCAAGTGACCACTCTACCACTAGACCACACAAGATCTACTGAACTGTACTTCGTTCGGAATTATAAAAATACTAGCCGTCCGGCGGTCACGTGACATAGCGCCGGACGTATATCTTGCGCACTATTTGTCCGGTAGACACTTCGTATAACATTCCTGTTCTTTATTGAGCATTACTCGCATCATAAATGATACGGTTAATATGAAGTATATTGAAATTAAATTTTCCATTAATTTGTATTAAAATTCAACTTATACGTTTCAAAAGAAAGGAAAAAAGAAACACATCCTTGCTGATACCCCAAGACCCAACACCGGTGAAAAAAAAGACGCTCGCCAAAATTGCTTCATTTTGATTAGTTGAAAATACCTGTATGTTGAAACTTATGTAACAAAAGTAAGACTACTGCTTAAATTGCATTTGGAATGATCTTCTAGGAACTGTGGAGGGGAGATCCCTCCCCAAACCCCTCCCCTCACTTTAAATACCAAAATAAGAAACATAGAAATTCTCTGGGAAGGGGAGACCCCTCCCAAATTTAACAAAAAATTTAAAATAAGAAAACAATAACTTGCATTATGATGTAAATACAAACATGGAAATCATTTTATTACCGGTATGGCACTGTAGACGGCGCTGTAGACAGAAATGGACTGGGGGAAACCTCTGTGACCTGTCCTGTATACCAAGTATCACATTGTCTGCCTTACCCCTAACTCAAAACCAGCCCAGAACTTTGCAACCACAATTTTAGTTTACCGCTATTAATAAAAATCAGTAAAAACGCACTTAAAATCTAGAATGTAATGTAAAATTTCTTAAAAGACTTTTGTAAAAGAATGTTGTAAAAGTAAAAGCACAAATAGACCATATTTATATGTGGCAGCACTTGCAATACATTTTTTAATTTAACAATAACAAGTATACTTCTACACCAAGTCTAATGCCCATTTTGAGCCGCTCACACATTAGGCTACGGCTTCGGAACGTGCAGAGTATCTGCAGTAATGTAAGTAGTGCCCCTTTGAAGGAATATTAGCAAGGTCGGATCGATTATGAGCACTGGCACAGTTCATTTTAAATATATTTTAAAGGATTTTGAAATTATTAGTTAAAATAAATATTTATTGTTTTATTATAATTTTTATGGGTATGGAGCAAGATTAACAGATTGCATTAGATAATAGCTGTTGACATGGAATTTAGTGGCTTTTTTCAAACAAAAAATTAGGGGTTCACATTTTACTATACATTAATATAGTAGCTATAAGTTTCTCAACAATTTTCTTGTTAAAAATGTTAATAAATTTTTATTTTCATTCATTAGATCTATTACCAGTTCCTGAATTTTGGAATGATTGTTTCATCTGCGCTAATGATATGGAAAGGACTAATGGTTGTAACTGGAAGTGAGAGTCCCATTGTAGTAGTCCTTAGGTAAACTACTTTTTATTGATTATTCATTTTAGTAGGCCCTAATTGTGTAATGCAGTTATTTATCTCTTACTGCAATATCATTTCCACCATCCCTGTATGTTACTTTTTATTCACATCACATTACAGTGGTAACTAATGTAAGTTAAAAATATTCCAAATTTGAAGTATTGACTCGTTCAACATAAACCCATTAGAATGCTCACAGTTTATTTTTAATTTGTATACTGGTACAATGCATCGTCAAATGACATGTTAATAATATACCTGTTCATTTAAATTTTTTTTAAATATTCAGTGGGAGCATGGAGCCTGCATTTCATAGAGGAGACCTCCTACTGTTAACAAATCACAGAGAAGAGCCAATCAGAGTAGGGGAAATTGTTGTATTTAAAATTGAAGGAAGAGACATACCTATAGTCCACAGAGTGCTTAAAGTTCATGAAAAGTGAGTATTTTATCAGCTTTTAAAACAGGCAGCTACTCCTTTGTTTAAAATTGGCAGCGACTCACAGTATAAGAGTCCATACTAAATGAAAAATAAAAGCCAAGTCCAATATGGCTACCATAAAATCAAATCATTGTTAACAATTTTAAGCAGTGGACACACTAAAAATATTTTTAAAGTTATTTGAAACACCATTCAAGTAAAATGTTGTGAGGAGCAGTGTCCTAGCAGATGGTTATTATTATTTGATTGGATGGATTACATGATAGGTGCTATCTTTTCTTTAAAGGAACTTATATTTTGTTTGCTAATTGACCTGCTGGGACACACCTGTTGATGACTGTGATCTAATTCAATGTGCTGACTGTCAAGATAAAGCTATGTCCATTTTATTATAGAGATGATGGCACAGTACGATTTTTGACCAAAGGGGACAATAACTCTGTCGATGACCGAGGGTTGTACGCCAAAGGACAGTTGTGGTTAGAGAAGAAAGATGTTGTAGGCAGAGCTAAAGCGTATGTATGGTTTCTGTTTTTTTACTTTAAAAATTAAACGAAGCCATAGTTCGATATTTATTTGATCAGTTTATTCCCAAGATATAGTTAGAGATCAAGTTGCAAAAAAAACAAAACATTCCAACAAATAACAAATCCTTTTTATTTTGTACCGCCCTGAAACACTGCAACTTACTTCCAAAGAATGCGTTACCATGGTTCATTTTGGTTTAAATTGATAAAAGTCCTTGTATTTTTTTTTAGCGTTCAGTGTCATTGGATCAGTACAGAGATGTTTATTGCAATTATGAAACTTTGCCAGTTAAAAATGCTAATTATAAACATTTTTTTTCTCTCCAGATTTTTACCATACGCTGGTATTGTGACAATTCTGATGAATGATTATCCAAAATTCAAGGTTAGTTGTTCATGATTACATTTAAAATTTAAAGTAAATACTTCAGTTTTATTTCAATTGCAGTATGGCTAATCTTAAAAATACGGACTATGGAAAGGTTTAGTTTTGTTCAAACTACTACATATTAGTTTCTAGATTTAATTTGGGTTTTAAATACACAGTCAGTATAATTAATTTAGCTTATGTTAGAGAGCAAAATATTTAGAAAACGAGAGCCATTAAAAAGGTTTTCTTTTGCTTAGTTTTATTGATATTCAAATAAATATGTGTCCTTATTATTTAGATGAAAGTTTTGCAATAAGTAAGCACAGCATAATTCATTATTTGAGGAGCCTTTCTAGCATGTTAATACTTTCAATATACTTTTTTTTATACATTTACTTTCAGTATGCAATTCTCGCCTTCTTGGGAATCTTTGTATTAACTCACAGAGAATAGCAAGCCTTCTAACTAGGAGTGAGTTTGACAGTGTGTTCAGATGATGGTGAATGAATGTTTATGAAAAATTTAGCAAAAGTGTTATAATTTGCGTAAGCGTGTAATAAAACTACTGGTACAAGGGGAAAAAAAAGGTTATTTAAAACATTTTGTAGTGTGTTGATGATAAATTAATACTTAATTGTAACTGTGCTTGAGAGATGATCTGAAGATTTTAGTCAATTTGTTTTGGTTAGGTAACTATAAATAGAATTAAAGCGATGGCTTTCCTTACTTAAAATTCTACAAAAATACATCTCCAGTAGGAGTAAATACTCAAATTCATTAAAATGGTGGGAAAGAACTAACTTTCCATAATAAAATTTTTAGAGGGAAGCATAAGCTTCAGCTCCTAGATTTAGATATATTCAAAACATCAAAATAAATAAAGTATTGTATTTGTAGATAAAGATCAATTACAAAGATAATAGGGCCCAATACGGTAGTTAAAACATTTTGTATATAACTTGAGCTTCATTTCTATGTACATGCCATTGTGTAATCAGCAGTGATAGTAAATGGTTGGTTTTATGTTTTAAAGTGAGGCAAAAATGTTTTGTGTTAAAATAGTATTAAAAAAGGGAGAAAGTAGTTATAAATGCTTCATTGAATGCGTGTGGTACTGCACAGTGTCATCTTATTTTTTTGCTTGGTGGTGGCTGAGAAAATTGTTAACTTTTTTCTTCATGTTTGAATCATGACCACTTTATAAAAAAAATCAAACATTCTATTATATGTATATTTTTTATCACTTCTTTTAAAATTAAACTTTTCAAAATTTTTAAGTTATAATTTATTTTGAATGATTTCCTTCACATCACCGGTTGTAAGATAATTTTTAGAAAAAAAAACCACATACACCTATGTCAGAATACATATCTTATTTTAAATTTGGAACAATAAAAATCATACAGTTCCTCAAATTTTATTCATTTATAAGGTGAACTATTGTCTGTCACTAAATTCTGATATTCATACAAGTCCTGAGAAACAAAGTATCTGAATGGCCAATGATTATAGAGATTAACTCATATGTTTGCATTAGTTAAAATTTAGGGGACTTGTAAATGTATGGGCCTTTGTATTAAAGTTAAAGGCACTTGACAGATAAAGTTAAAATAGGTGTTTGTGAAGCCTTTTTATTAAGTCAAATGCTCTTTTATTTCTTGTAAACTGTGATGTTGGTGTTATTTTGTATTATTTTTCCGTCTAACATGTTATTTGCTGGGTATGGGGAACAATGTTTCAAATAATAAAAGCCCCCAGATAATTTTCATTTGGTCTGGCATTTCTTTAATTTGTGTTTGTATTGCATATTATAATATGTACTATGGTTTAATGGATTGCAGTTTTTTTTACACAGGGCTGGGTTATTTTGAGAAAATACCCAAAGGGTCCAATCCAATTTTCTATAATATGCATCTAAATCTACTGCCCTATGTCATAGTGAAAGTACATTGCCTTCATCAACCCTTTATATCAATATATAACCCACTGATAGGAATAGGCAGTTGTCAGATCCCATAATAGAGATGATGTACAAAAACCTGTAGACAGAGAAGATAGTGTTGTTCATTTTATAACAAAGACTTGGGGAACAGTCCCAGTGTAAGGGGGGGGGGGGGGGTGGAAAAGTAAGCCTGGATGCACCAGAAGCAAAATATTTTAACTATTTATATACCTCGCCAAACATTCCCATCTACTAAAGTTACTTTACAAAACTTGATGATGAACTCAAGTAACGCACATTTTGCATACACCCAATTTGCATACACCCCTTTACACCATGATACATCTCTGCACACTTATTATTTCATGACCATGAACAATATTAATTAATATTCAGATGACCCAACCACTTTTAAACCGAATATTTATTACATTACACCATATTTAAAGTGAGAGGATTGGAAACGGCAGCAGCCACACCACAAACAAAAATATAAAAGAGATATAATTGATAATTCAACACACCCTGTTCCACGATTTCCTTCACACAGCTTGAATGCAGTTGTTATCCTGTGATGATTGTGGTTGCTATACTTTCAAAAGTATTATTAGTATTGTTGGTTTTACACATTTTACTGTTCTGTAACTTAACTCCCACAAAGATAAAATAGAATTCCAAAAGTTGGGTTAAAGAATTTACTTAACAAAATTTTAAGACAAGAAATGGCGGGTGACTAGCATTTTAAGATGGATGATAAAATAAATTGTAATCCTCCCCAATCAGTAACCGTTTTCTCTTAAGATCACTCGAAAAATTTTTAAGTATAAGCATAAAAGTTTTGATAGGACTTATGATAAGAGATTCATACACAGTGCATGTTGTGATCGAATTAAAAACAGTGTTTATCATGTCTTAAGAATAACTCACTGGTACAGAAATATAAGACAACATAAGTCAATACTAACAAAAAAACATTTTTTTATTTTATAGAAAAAAACACCAAATAAACTGCTTAAGCCAATTGATATTTACACACACACAAAATTTAATATTTTCATACGTACAACAAGCCATTTTTTTATTTACCAGAATTACCATACACAAATTCATATTGTATACGTCACGTTACAAATCTTTTATTTTTAATTAAAAGACTAGTTATGAGATTTACTCATAAATATAATGAAAAATTATTAATGATCAAGACAATTATAAATCAATTTGATCAGTGAACATAGTTTTTGGAATCCACAAATAATTGTCATAAATGAAAATCACTCGCAGTAAGACCTACACATTTTCAGTTATACAATGCATTTCTGGACATTAAAAATATAGAATAATGATAGAGATAAGCTTGGCTACCATGTGGGTGCTGTATTTGCCAATCTCCTCATGCGCCTGTTTGAGAAGGACAAAAAAAAAAAAAAAATTCTTTAAGTTTCAAATTCTACAGGCTAATGAAAGTTTCAGAAAGGGAGGAGGAGCAGAGAAAAACACTGTTGAAAAAACATTGCTTAAAAAAAAAAGTTACTCTAGCACTGAGCACATTTAGTTTAACATCAATAAACCTATTCAAACATTCTGTTGTTGCTTAACTTAATAAGAACGACAAAACTACAAACCAACCTCGTATTTCGATCTTGGTCTCTGATTTTTTTCTCCATTTCAGCATCTGTCAAAGTTTCTAAGAATGGACACCACTGGTCAGCTTCATTTTGATTTCTAAATGCAACTTCAACACATGGCAATGGAGCTTCACTGTGTAAACAAACAAATGGTTTTATTGTAGACAATTCTTCATTTTTCAAATTTGTAAAACAAAATTAATCTCAGAGTTTGTTCTGGTATAAAAACTAATGATTTTAGATTACCAAATAAATGAATAAGCACACAAAAAAAACAACTAATGACTTTAGATTACCAAATAAATGAATAAGCACACAAAAAAAATCTAAGGATTAGAAGAGGCTGCACCTAAATGCATATGTTCTTTGATGCCAACTAAGTTGTCCTCTAATACTGTATGCAATGGCAGTCACAAATTCACCACCTAGCCCTGTCAAGAAAAACAAAGATAAAAGCATTATAAAGAATGAAAACAATGTATACTCATATTTAATATGGCTAAAAAATTGTTGAGAGACAATAATTTTGAAAAAGTACACATTGTTATAAAAAAATCATTTTAAAAAAAAACAGTCTTGCAAGACTATCTAAACTAGTATAAAATTGAGTTTTTAAACTATGTATCACACAAATGTTGACATTAAATACCTAATTCTGCACACAATTTTGTTGCAAATTCCTCAGGACTATTTTGAACCTCTGACATGTCCCATTCAAACTGATCTACAAGTGAGATGTTACCAACATGAATATTTAACTGTGGGAGAAATCAAAAAGTGGATAATTTTTTTAAAATTTAAATTATTCAAAAAAACCTTGACATAGTTCTCTTTGAGACTAAAAAGAACACCAGGCAAACAAGACCCTAGGGTTCTTAAGGGTAAATCTAAAGATTGGCAACTCCTGTGTGAAAGAAAGAGCTTGTAAACCATTTGTTCGTCCGGTTTTAGATTATGCATCTTCAGTCTGGGACCCATTTACCCAGAAGAGCATCAACAGGTTGGAGGTGGTCCAGCGACGGCAGCATACTTTGACCTGAACCCCCTACAGGAATACCTCTGGTGTTGCCAGCATGCTGGAAAACACTAGGCTGGTCCCCACTGGAGGAACCATGACAACTATCCAGGCTCCCGTAATGTACAAGATAAATAATGGGCTGGTCCACTGCTCCAGCATTAAACAGAAACTCGTCCCTCTCCCCCATATACAGTGACGAGGCCATGACAGGCTATTCCCGCTCATATCAGCAAGACGCCAGTATAGGAACTGCTCATTCCTGCCAAAGACAATCAGGGACTGGAACAAGCTTTCAAAAGGAACAGTTGAGGTGACAAAACTTGCGTCTATTGCCTCAAGCCTTCCAACCGCCAGTGCATGATACCCTCACTAAATGGCCCTTGCAACAGGTGAAATATCCTCACCAACACAAGGCACAAAAACATTGCAAATCCCCTCTACATGCATAGGAGCCAAAATGATCAATAAATTTATCGTGGGCCCTTAATATATAGAAGAAGAAAACAAATTTCATATTAATAAAGGGACAGTCAAACAACAAAAAAGAAGTAGCCAATATAAAAATAGCCATTATTTCCATATCTCTCCAAGTCCAAGAGAAGTTGAATAAAGGCTTGTCTAATCAAAGCAACAATTTAAAGATGATTGAAAGATCATTCCAGAAAGCAACGGCAGATGATTTAATAGTTCATGTTATAAAAATATTGCTCTGTTACCTTGATGATTACCCTTTGATCTGACTGCTCCTCCACTGCCTCTGGTACTGTTGTATTTTCTATCTGCTGCCTTATAGCTCCTGCAATGGCTGGGATGAAGTTGATGGGACTCAGATCTAGGTCATCACAGAGTATTTCAGCAAACTGTTCAGGTGTGATAGAGGTTTCTGAAAAAAAAAAGTAATATATATTGTCTTTGACTGCTTTGTAATAATCTCATTTACTTCTTGTTAACAGAATTTTATAAAGTCATTTAATTGTAATTAAATTAAATTGTATTTTGAAACTTTGATGTTTGCTTTTTAAGTTAAATGGGTGTTTGTAATTATTATTGATTATCAGATATATAATATAATAAGCTTTTTAAAATATAACCTTTAACAGAATGAAGCACAGAATCAATCATGCAAATTTAAAACATGCATCAAACTCATCTTTTTTTCAAGAAAATAAAAAAAAAAAAAGGATTACCATTCTTATTCCATGTAAAGCAGTCTCTAAGTTTTTGTCCTTCTATTTCCATATCCAATCTTATTGGCACCAAGTCCTCCTTCTGGTTTGAATTTTCATGTACCACTGCTGGATCTGTGTCATCAAAACTAGAGGCAAGGGAATAACATTTTCTTTTTAAACTTATTTTTCCTTTCACATTTCATGTTATAATCAGTGATTAGAAAGTTGATACCGGTAGTTAAAAGAATTTATTCTTTACTTGCTAACTAGGTGTTGCCCTGGTTCTCATGTTGTTAATGTTTTTTAGACTAATACAATTAATGTCATTGGAAAAAAAGAAATAAACTCGTGTCTTGCAAATACAAAAAACTATTTGGCAACCACCAACAATTTACTTTTCCGAATCACTAAACAACACTTTAACTGTAACTGAGGTTCTGTCAACAATTCAATTTCAGACAGTTCATTGAAAGATGAATCCAACAAATATTTATTTACTATTATAACCTTTGGAGCCACATGAAACTTAACCTTTAATACCATCATAAAATTTCTTACCCCAATGTCATTAAAATTTTTTTTTAGAAGGTTATGAAATCTTTCATCAATTACATTTTAAATAAATTATAGTTCAATTCAAGAGAAAAAAATATTTATTTCTTCGCTGAACATTCTCAAACTTTAAAAAAAACTAGACAAACATTTACACCCTTACCTAGGTGAATACATTAATATCTTGTCGCATTTTTAGTTTGGGATTGAAAATCCCACAAGTTATAGCAGCTTTGGCTATATTTCAGTATATCAGTAAAATAATTTTTATTTTATTTTAAAACATGTGTTTTTGGTATAATATAAATTTCACCAGGGTCGCTTTGATAGTACAAGTCTCTTACAAATTAGAAACAAATTCAAAAGAAGAACTTACCACAGTGGGAAGGTTCGAATTTTAGACTTTGCTAATCTGTTTCTATTTATGTGAGTTGAACATGGCACTGCATCTAAATGGTGGGAACTACTAGGGATGGAGGGCACCCAGCTGTTTCCCCTCTTGCTTTTAGCTGTTTGCCTGAAAACATAAGTTAAACAAGGAATTAATTTAAATTACTTAACCTAAAAGTAAAAGCACTATCAAAATATGTTGAATTATTAATTTTCAAAATTTACTTAAGAATGTAATTTTAAAATTATTGAGGAAAAATAAATCCACTTTAATTATTTTAAATGGCCATTAGTCTTAAAGTGAATAAAATTACCAAAATCATGAACACTATAAATAATATTAATGGAAAATTTGATAATTAAAAAGAACATATTCCAATTGACAAATTAGCACAAGACTATGTAAAATTGTTCAATTTTAGGCCACTTACGTAATAAATGAAGTATCTGAACTGAGAGCTACTGCTTTATATTTCTCATCAAAGCCACTGATGATTTCATCCACTTCACTTGCTTTAAGCAATGTAATATTAGTGGCTAAAGAATGATGTCCGTATCCTGTAAACAAAAAGGACAATTATTGAAATTTAAAAGGCTCTTATTTTTTTAAAATTTCAAAATGTTTTTAAAAGAAACATAATTTATTTTTAAAAAAGGAGGGGAAAAATTGTGTACTGGGATAAGTGTTTTTCTTCTGATATCAGAAGTTGAGGTTTTATTTAAAAAGGAACACGAGACAAAAGAACTGGACTATGAAAATTTTGCATTTGGATCATAGCGATATGAAACAAATTTTAAGATTAGAAATTCTAATTGGCTTTTAGTTATAATTATCCCTAAAGCAGCTGTTACTAATTGCTTACCCATGTTGGCTAATTTCTTTCTTTCTTCAATAGTAATTAACCGTCTCCACATAGATGGATATCTCTTGTATAAAGATCCTCTAAACATACGAAGATAATTTCCAACCTTTAAGAAGATGAATTGGATTGAAAATGCTTACAAAATACATTAAAAAATGTAATGTAAAGAACTTTTTTTTTTAAATTGTAAAAAGTTGAAAACTCTGGCTACATCAGCTAAATGAAAAAAAATTGTGACAAAGCCTTGGCTATTGATAACCGAAGAGACTGAGGGGTGAGTTGAGCCCTATGAATAACAGCAGCTTCCCAGGACTCGATTTGTTATTGTAGCGATGCCCAATACAATTGACATTTCGCGTTTCTGCCTTTTGACAAGAAGATGTCATCAGATTACAAACTATATCAATCAAAATATCCATAACTGTGTTGCGAAGTAATTTTATTTTTAGTCTCACATATTAAATGTCTGAGTGAAAGCTAACAATTTAGTTATATAAAGTCGCTACGCCTTCTCAATTTTGCACTCTACACTGTTTTGTTTACTGGTTAAATTGGCATTAAAATCATAATGATCCATCAGCATGTAATAATAATATGTAGAACAAAAAGGTCAACATCAATGGAAATGGAGTATTATCAAGGACATTTATTAGTTGATATTATGACCAAAATTCATTAAATTAGTAGGACATTCACTTGATCTATGAAATTTGTTAATTATAAGGAATCCCATTTTTTTTTTGCTGTATAAAACGCACATTTTTTAAAATGAAAGCATACATTAACTAGTATCAATTTAAAGAAGCATTATTTTAGCTGTATTAATGCACAACCAACAGAACGCACTCACAAAATGAGGTGGTGCAGTCTATTCTACCCATATAATCATTAATACATAGTATAAATAGTATTATAAACCTGTAAAAAAACGAAAAACTAACTCATATTGACATTTAAAAAAAAAAAATCTTATGTCGAGAACTACTAAAATTATTTGATGTTTGATAAATTTTGTTCAATAAAACTGTATTTTAAAATAATTATTTTTATTTTGCCGAAACTGCTTCAAGAATAATAATTTAAGGCTAAATTCAATGACAAGGATTCATCCTGACTGTGTTTAAGGAAGCACTGGGCTCTATAGGGAATTATGCTTAGGATGCTTTCCCTTCTATTTCTATCTATCGCCTAATGCTAATAATAAATATGCTACCCATCACCAGATATTTATAATTTAGATTGAAGGCTACATACGAGTCGTTGTAAAATGGTATGCTAAATTTAGAACTAGGTAATAGTAGTTATTGTAGTACCCTAGTAGGCGTAATAATTAATATTATTAGTCTTAAAACTTAAATTACTTAAAATTACAATGAGTATAAATGACATGAACCTACTCAAACTCATTCATAAAGTCATACGAACCTACTCATACCATACTCATTCATAAAATCATATAAGCATTATAAAATTTATAATGGTTCTACATCCACACTAACATTGATTCATTTCAGGAAGTGTAGGTATAATAAGAGTGCCTAAGATACAATAGCAAGAGGGCTTAGTAACTTTTTCTTTTCTTAATGGGGTTATCCTCCACATTTTGCGTTTGTTTTCAATCCTATAACTTTACTATAAAACAAGAAAAAAATATCATATTTACAGGAAACATAGTTAAAATGACTTCTTCTAAATAAAACAACAAAATATAAGTTTTGCTAATATTCTGCACATTAAAAAAAAAAATCTAGATCATTTTCCTAAATTAAAATTAAATATGCTGACTCTGCACTTATTTGTTTTTAATTATGTATGTTTAAATTTATTATTTTTAAATTTCCCAATAATACTAATACTATTCTTTAGATATTAATTTTAAATTTTCACTGTAACTGTTTAACATTTATAAACAAAGAATACAGGGATTATTTGATTCATTTAGTTATAATTGTTGATTATAGTTTTTATTTTACCATTTTCTATATATATGTTATTTTATTCCCATATCAATATAACTAAAAAAAATTAGTATGTCATTTATTTTAAGGTAGTAATGTTGTTTCACAAATCAACATGTATTGTTAGAATCAACTTTGTTGTTTGATAGAAATTAATTTAATAGTCATTTGATTGAGGTAAGTACAAGGTTTTATGATTGTTCTTTAGTAACATCTTAAGTAATTCTTGGATTATTGTAGCAGAAAGTGAGTTTTTTTATTTGAGAGCACTGAGGATTATATAATAATCTCTTGTGGAATATTGTGTTATGTGATTAAATATAGGTTATTTCAATATCAATGGTAAGTGAATATTTTTTTAATACATTTTTCTTAATTTATGCTTCGTGAATCATCATTATAAGCATTAAAATATAAGTACAAGTAATGAATAATGGGTCCTACAAATAATAACTGGGGGTAGGGCCAGGACTATGCTTATAATTTTATAATACTATATAAATATACTATTCTAGGCCTATATAACTAATAAATATATTAATTGTAATAATGAGGCTTATTTAACCCACTCCCCAAATCAAATTATTTAAAATATTTTTGTTTGGGTTATAAGCCTAAATTTGGTAACAACTAAAAGATAATTGAATGGACAATTTATTTTTAAACTTATTTCTTGAGACTAACTAAAATAAGTAACAGAAAAGAAACTTAAACTGTGATAAAAAATTTTTAAAAAAAAACAGCGAAGAATATTAATAATAATAATATAATGATTCAAATGACAACAAATAAACTTTTTCGCTCATAAACAATAAAGTATCACCAATGTAAAAGTCTAAATAAAAAAAGTTTAACAGAGGAAATAACAAAAAACAACCATGATATTGAAACAATGCACAGCGCATTTGGATGTGGTTTTTAGCACGGCGGAAGAAAATGCATTTTGATGCGCTGCATCAAAAGAGTTAAGCAATATATGCTTTCCATAAAATAAAATACGAACGAGCAAAGTTCGGTAAAGTTAGCATTATTTTACCTTCAATTTTCAAAGTGAAGCCTTAAAATTCTTTTTGGAACCTAAGTGTTAAAAGTGTCTACACATCCGGCGCGCCGGACAAATAGTGCGCAAGATATACGTCTGGCGGGATGTCACGTGACCGCCGGACGGCTAGTATTTTTATAATTCCGAACGAAGTACAGTGTGGTAGATCTTGTGTGGTCTAGTGGTAGATTGGTCGCTTGACTATATTATGTTGTGAGGATCAATACCGGGGATAGGATCATTTTTTTTCCTGCCATTTTAATGTAAAATATTTTATACTATATTTATATTATCATGTTCATCAGCAACAGTAGTTTCATGAGAAGTGTTTAAATATTTTGTAACAATTTAAAATGAAATCTTTTACTTTTATTGGTTGCCTACTCCACACTGGCCCCTAATTTATTTTATGGATTACTGGTGCACAAACTCAAATAACAAACTAAGCAAAAATGTTTACAAGCCACTTTCACTTAAGTTTTTTTCTATTATTTGCATGCAAGATACTCAGTACATTTCTTGGTAGAGAAATAGATTTTAAAATTAACAATAGTTTTGAATTATTCGCAGTCACGTGACAAGGCTGACCGACAAGATATCTCTCGCCAATTTGTTACGGCGGTCATGTGACTTGGTCGCCAGACAAATAGTGCGGGAGATAGACACTGCCGGACGTGTAGACACTGCCAATGAAAAAACAATATGTCTTCTCTTAGATTAAGATGTGGGCGGAAATAGAAGGCTATAAACTATAAGAAGGTGTTTGCTGAGATATAATTGGACAAAAATCGTAAAAATCGGCACTCTCTACTCTCTGTAAATTAAAAAGTGAAGGTCCCTATTTTGACAACAAAATCCCCATATACGGTTATCAGCATTTCCAGGGCCTTACCGAAGTGCTGAATTTATATTAATTACAAATAATAATGACAATGACGTTCTGGGCACACCACCCACCACAGTGTCCACAGTACAGCGGCCTGATCACTGATCTATTTACATTTGTCAATTAGTTCTGTTTGAATCTATTATTTTCCCGTGTAAACTTATGTTAATTCTTTAAAAAAGTATTTTAAAAGTTATATACCATCTTTTTATTGGAATACAACAACAATTTAACAAATTTTACGAGATAAAAAAAGTACATTTTTATGAATCTTTCGTGTTTTACGGAGCCATTGTGGTAAATCAAGGATAACTCTTCTGTCTTTAAAGATACTTTATAAAAGTTGCCCAATTGGATGAATCTTGTTAAAATAAATGATGTATTTATTTTATAACTTTACTATCAACTATAACCGGAGTTGTCTGGGGCTGCATTCAGAAAAAACTATCTGCTCCGTCCTTTTAGTTCACATTGTTATTAAAGGAAATGTCAACAACAAAACTATAGTAAAAATAATAATAATTAGTTTGTCTCCTATTAAAAACAAGTAAAATAACTTATGTAAACCTTTCGTTTTTCCCGTTTTCCGATGGCACCCGGAAGGTTCATGATGGGATCCCGAACCCGATGTGATTCCGATAGAATCCTGGTCATGGGGTGAGATTCCGATCCCGGTGAGATCCGTTTCCGGTGTTATCCCAAACTAAATGAGATCCCAATCCGGTGGGATCCCGTTTCGGTGAGATTCCGATCCCGATAGGATTTTGATCCTAGTGAGATCCTGATCCCGGTGGGTTACCGATCCTGGCGGGGATACCGGTTACGGTGAGCTCCCGTTTCGGGTGATATGCAGATCCCGGTAATTATGGGGAGCTCACATACTTGACATACGAACCCAGCTTACAAGCCACATTGCAATTGTTACGAGCGCCTTAGGAGAAATTCCAGTTGTATTAATGTTATTTGTTGCCCCACAAGGTGCGCGTATAAACCAAATGCTGCACCATTAAAAATGCCTGTTGCATCAACAATTTTAGCTATTGTTTCTTGGTCGTCCTGAAAATTTTAAACGAAATGTTCCTACAACCAGCAATACCGCAAAGCCAAAACGAGTCCGTCTTATAATATTAAAAAAAATAATCACTAGCCCTCACTCTACTCAGCGCAAATCAGTCACCAGTAATAAGCGCATTTGCATACGAAAAAAGAGGAGGGGTGCTCAAATTAAAGCTGACCAATCACGGACAGCGTATTAGCAGCCTTCAGGGTGATCAGCTTCACACCAGGTCCAGGGCGATGATGACGTGTGTGTCCACTGCCTTAGTCAGTGATCCACTTCTAATCTCTCCCCCCCCCAACCCGACTTCAAAGGACAACCCCTATATTCCGAGCTCTCTGAGAGGGGAAAAAAAGAAAGTTTTTTTTTTGGGGGGGGGGGGGGGGGGGAAGAAAAAATTTTTTTTTTTTTTTTTTTTTACATGCTTAGTTTGAAAATTTCGTTTAGCATACTAACTTATAGGTGGCTAAAAATCTGGCATAGCGTAAAAAGAAAAATACAAACAAATGGGGCTGTGTCACTTTGGTTGGGGGATGTTTAAAGACTATTTAGAAGTAGAATAAAAAGAAAAGATGCGAGTTATAATTCAGAATTAGTTAACTATAACTGCCTGTATTAAATTATTAAAGAATACACATAAGTTTACATTTTACATGATAAAAAAAAATTAAAATACGAAATGCGCTAAGAAATAATATACGCACCTGAACTGCACTTTTACCTATTTTTCAATCATATTTATTACTTTTAAAATAGAGCGAACTGACTAAATGAATTAATGTAGCAATAACCTATTATTCCGAAGTATTCCTCGGCGTCAACAAACTAATTTATAATGTTAGAAATTACTAACAAAGAATTCATGTAGGCTAACCAAGGCCTCAAGAGATTAGACGAACTGCAAAATATATATTCAACTTTTTAAAAAAATCCAACCTCAGAACCAATGTAATAAGCATCTCCATCTTCTTCGATTTTAAATGATTTAGGCTTTTCTCCGTAAGTTTTAATTCCACCCGCCGGAGTACACGGTGTACTTTGTGTTGAGGGAGACGCCATTTTCGGTGTCAATATGCCAGGTGCTTGCTAGACTTGCCAATTTGGAAGTTTTAAAAAACTTTACTAAAAATTAAATACTCTAATTCTAATTCAGTTAGGGATTTAAATGTCAAATGAACACGATGCATTATAATCATTTAGCATTAATAAATGTGAACATAATACACACATGGATGTTTAGAATAATTTGCCAAATCAAAAGTAAAATATTTATTGTATTGTGAAAAGTCATTTGTGTACAACAAAACAGTATCCCAACTTTTTTTTTAAACCCCTATGGCCACGCCCCCCTCCCCAAATCCCTAAATATTTTTATGGCTACATCTATAGGTACCCACATACCTTTAATCGCAAATGACTATTCGCACCCGGAGTGGCTCCGTACAGATTAAATGGCTTCGGAGCCGGGTGTGATAACAATAATAGTATGATAATTTTTTTTAAATCGTTTTTTTCACCTTGTTATTTCATAGATTCATAGTTTTATTCTTTTTAGCTGTTTTTTTTTGCTATGTTAATTTCTCTTAGGACGGGTAGATTTTTTTTCTTTCCTATTTTCTATTCTAGTTTAAGCCATTTTCGTAGATCATTTTTTTTTTAAATCTAGTAATGAAGATGATTTAGATACTAAATGGTTTAGATGATTTAGATACTCCACAGCCCCCTTCCTATGCAAGTGGATTGATTTTTTCTCGACAAAATTTCCTGCGGGCGCCCATGGTTGGTCAGCTCTAGTTTGATAGATGGCACTTAATTATTTAGATGCCACCTAAGTTGTCTCTGGTTTGTGGTGAGTAAAATGAGAGGCAGTGTTAGTGATTTTATGTATCTGGATGGAACCAAATTGCTCTATTATTCATCTGTTTGCAATGGTGTTTATTTCGCTACTGACATATATTTCATTACTTTCCCACTTTTCGCCTCTTAGTCTTAGTAAATCACCAGCTATTTATTGAGAAAGAAATCGAAACTGTCACAAATTTTAAGACAGGACATTGACAATTATATTTAAAGTTTTAACAAATATTTCCCACATAACCCCCACCCATGGGCGCCCGCAGGTAGGGCAAGGGGGGCACTTGCCCCCCCCCCGATTGATTGGATAAAGAAAAATTTAGACAAAAATAGACCAAAAAATTATCAAAGTAAAGAGAAATTAAAGAGAAAGTAACTAAGCTGATGTCCTGTCCGTTCGTTCACCATACAAATACGCTACAGTAAATTAAAACTATATTAAAACATTACTAAAAATGTGTCCCCCCCCCCTGGAAAGTAAATCGATTTTTGCCCCCCCCCCACCCTAGAAAGTTTTCTGCGGGCGCCCATGCCCCCACCCTCAAAATTCGAGCCGCGTTCTGTCCGAAATGGATGCACAACCGTGTAAAGGAAAAGCAGCGCCCTGGGCGAATGCGCCCCCTGATATTGAGGTC